TACAGGTTTTCTCATCTGTTTGTTGGCTTCATACTAAATTTGAATATAGACCTTGTGGTGTGATCAAAAACCTACAGAGCTGTAGAATTGACTGTACTAGTACTTGGTAGTACTTTATTACTCATGTTCATGTGTATTTTGGTCATGTGCACAACAGTAGGACTACCCATACTTTGCATAGGGGCTTAGATGTACAATATTTACGTAGTTCATTTCCCCCAGCTGTCTTGTTTGTAGCCACCACTATTTCATGAAAGGAACTGTAAAACTGAAACTATGTTATTTGTTGAATACAGTGCACCTGAAGACCTGAGTACGTCAACTCCAGAACTTGGAGGCACACGGCCCAGTGAAGACAACACAAAGCGTTGTGGGTTCACACTACAAACCTCCAGACAATTCAGCTGAGAAATGAATTGTGGACATTGTGAAATATGTTGTATTAAGTTCTTATTGCTGTGGTTAGCTCCTCAAAGTGAGTTAACATTTCAGTTTAGTATTGCTTAAATGTGGAACGTTTTTCCAAGCGGTGTTTTGCACCTGCAGATTAACAGTAATTTAAACTAAATATCAAATTTCTTTTTATAGGCTTGATGGTGAGTGACCCAGCAGAGGATGACATCGGCAGTAAGGCCTTTTCTTTGGGATGTGCCACCAGTAATTCAGACTATTTCAACATGTGGTGAGATGATGCCTGGTACTTTGTGGGTTTTTTGTTTTCCTCCACTACCCAGGTACAAATGTGCCCACTAAAAGCCTTTTTGTTCAAAATGAAGCAAATTTATCAAAACATGATAGATTAATTTAAAGATATGTTTAATGCAGGCTTTTTCAATTTTCCCCTTTAGGCAATCCTTAACCAGATGTCACTCTGTGGCCAGACGATCACTGCAGCATTCTTAAGGACATGCATAGAGGCAAGCGAGTTGGTTTATAAATGGATCATTTATTATTGAAGTCAAAACTTATTTTTTTTCCGCAGGCCTCATCCCAGCTCAGCCAGCTGCTGAAGTCTTGGGTAAGATGGGAAATCCCTACTGCTGGGTCATCAAGGTAGAGTAAATCACGTTTTCTCCATGCTGTTGCAGTGCATGTGCCTGTACCACAGTTGTGAAGACTAGTCATGCAAATGAGAAGTCCAAACAACTGTGGTCCAGGCACATGCAGAAAATGTGAGGTACTCTACCCTGATGGCCCACCAGTAGGGATTTTCCATCTTATGACTTCAGCAGCATGCAACAAAAAAGGATACTCCATGTGGGGGACTGCTTTTTAAGGGCCCTGTGTTCAACATGCAATCATGCCAGGGCCCTCTTTTGAAAATTGTTCAATAAAGCTACAACTTTAAAATCTTTGATTTTAACAAGATATCATGTGTTCAGGTCTTGGAGTACAGTAAGGAACTACATCTTGGCCCAAAACTTCAGCACTATGGGGGTACAGTGGGTGGGAGATAATGCATTTATTTTACAGGGACAGTGGAAGGAAGTACAAGTTGCTTTCCACATCATGAGGGATGACAGCAATAAGTATTCCCAGTTCTGTCTAGATCTTGAATCCAAAGCAGGCTGTGGGGGAAAGATACGCAAATTAAGATGTCCAAGTGTATAGATATTGGATTATTATTGTTGGATGTGTGAAATTACATGTGTTGACTATCAACTGTTTTACATATTTGAATAAATCAAATTGAATCAAGTGTATATGGTTGTCAATTCAATAAGGCATATTGTGATGTTTATTACTGAGGTCATAGTTCAAGATGTTGTACTGGATGTTATATTCAGAACACCTAAATATAATGTCCAGTACACCACCCCCTTGAACTATGACCTTAATAAAACTAAACTTACAATGTTAAGGCAGAAGTTATCAAAAACTAAGATTGCACCTGGATGTAAAGTCAGGTTTCTTTGCAGCATCAAGAAACAACTCCAGATTCATGGATGCCTTGTTTCTATTTGGAGGATCAGAACCTGTGATGGCAAAATAACCAGCTTACTCAACATTACAAGTTAACTTCTGCATCATACTTTCCTCTTAACTGAGCCATTTAAAAGAATTCTACTTGCCTTTGTACTATCAATTTGCTGTGTTTCACTTGAGAACAATTGACATTCATTGTCAAACATTACAGATAGAACAAAGCTTCATTATGAAACTGTTACACTGCAGTGCATTCTGACCCTGTGTACAAACATGGTGCATACAAATGCAGAATGAAAGCACTTATATGCACACCTCACAGATGTCCTAAAACACCCTATATCAAACTAGGACGTTTGTCAGTGGGGAAAATATGGGTCAGATTGGAACAAAGAGTTGTATGCAAGTACATGGTGTTAAATTTGAGAAATTAGTCTGACCTGAACCTATCAGTACTAGGATAGTTCTCTCACTTGAACCACCACAACTTTAGAATGGGTTTCTCACCTGATGTCCAAATGCAGGAGTGACAGGGGCTCGGAACACTGTCTGTCCTCCTCGTGACAAGCCCAAGGTTATTTACGCTATGCAAGTTCTTGTCTGTGCGTTCTGTGGCCTATTGAAAGATACAGTACATGAGGGGAAGTTAGTCCTATGTCTATCCTAGTTATAACAATTACTCTGATCACAGAAAGACAGAAACCTGTACAAACACATTTAATAAAAATCAAACATGCAGGAAAAGTCAACTCTTACTAAATGTAGTTTACACAAATAAAATTCATTAAAGGGCTATTGCATTCTTTATTCAGGTTTATCAGTATATGATGCACTTTGAGGCTAAACTGGAGTTTTAATGACTGTTTTCTCTAATCAGTTCATATTTCTTGCACATCTGAGCCTTTCCTTAATTTTCCTAGCCTATGCTTACTAGTCACATTGATGTAGTAACAGCATCAAACTCTGTTGGAAAAAGCCTGTACATAAGTGCAATTGAAGCATCTGTACTTATTTTTAGTTCCTGCTTCTTCACATCTTACCGTACCTTTTTACTTCACTAGATCTGATAACTTTATAGTTTATTTTCAGAATCAGATGAATAAAAAGGAAATACAGTATAAGCCTAATCATGAGACTTCAGTGATCTCTGGTGAGAAATTTACAAGCTACTCACCAGAAGTTCACATTTTAACAGTTAACATAATCCCTACCTTTATCAGCTACAACATTAAAATGATTAACACAATAATGCACCAGAATCAAATAATATACATCAACATGAAATGCATTCTATTATTATTCTGCACAGTGGCTCCTTTTACCTTTGGTAATGTAGGTACAGTATATTTCGCTGCCAATGCCTTGCACTATTATTTAAGCAACATTTTTTAATGTAGCACTCTTACCTGTAACGGCATCTCAGTAAACGCCGAGCGGGTTGAACCTCACCGGGTCTTCATCAGGGCGGAAACATACAGGTGCAAACGATTTGTGCTGATGAAGACCCGGTGAGTGCCGAACCGGCCGGCGACCATTAATAGTAAATATAGAAGACATTTACATTAATGGGGCATGTAAAACCAAAGCAACAGAGTACTGGACAGCTAAGTGGCTCTTGAGCATTTTCTTGCTAGCAGAGGTTTGCTAACTTCCTACATTAGCATTCGGCTAACGCTAGATAAAGTATCCCACCTGGAATAGAAAACATACATTTGGACAACTGTGTTAACAGCGAAGCACCTGCGCGCTGCCTACACAGAACGATACACATGAAATTTTTACTGCGATCTCCTACAATTTTCTAATGCAACCCACCTGAGTAGCAGAGGTGCTAGGACCGTAACCATCTTGAATCTCGACTACAATCAAACTTACAGAACGGACACCAGAGACTAACTTGACGAACCCAGCTACCACCTGATTGGACAATTTGACTCTGCTCTGCGATTGGTCCGTCACTGTCCAATCAGATTCAGGTGCGATTAACGCTAAACCTCAGTACTCCTAAATTGAGCTGTATGTGCAATTTGCTACTTTCTGTCTGTACACAAATGTTCACAAACACGCTTGTTTTCAGTCTCTTCGTGTAACATAATTTTACAGATTTTATTCATATATTCAAAAACGTTTTACGTACAAATCTTTCCTACACATACTCTCAGAAATTGTACATACATTGCTATTTGTACTATTAAGTTGCCATTCATTTGACTAGCAGGCAGTAATGGGTTACACTTGTTAAGACTGGTGTAATGCCACCTCTAAAGGACAGCATTACTGTGTGCTGAGAAGGAACAGGAAAACGAAGTTACAAGACATGTTTTAGGCTTTTAGACAAAAATGTGGCTTATTCCTACCATTTATTTTTTAAATAAAATCTAAAATCACTAATATTTAGTATGAATAAAGAGGGGTTTCAAATAAATACTGTACAGAGATAAATGTAAGAATTTAGTGTCTTGGGTCCTTTTAAAAAAAAACAGCGGTTAATGAGACCTCAATATGGAATATGGGCAGGATCTGGACCACAATAAAAATGAACAGCACTCGGATTAGGACTAGTTCTGGTTGATTTGGTTCATTATTGGCTGAAATGTGGCCTGCTGTAGTCCTGATCTGGCAAAGAGGAGCGGGCTGCTTGAAGGCCCAACTGATGTCTTTAAAAAAAAAAGACAGAATAGATCAGACAAGTTGGCATTACATGTTTATTGAGCAAAGTAACAAACGAGTGGAAAAAAATTCAGCTGTCATTGATGTAGAAAATTGTCAATTTAGCCTGAACTGAACTTTTTATTCATATTTAAGCTTTAAATGTCTTAAGTATTTCTGTAAAAATCAAACTGTTCTTTTTTTGTCATATGAATGGTGGGACTTGAATGCCTTCTAAAGGCAGAGGCACTTCAGGGGAAGGCTCGAGATAGCAGCATATTGGCGATTCAACAGCATAGCAACAACTGCCTCATCACCTCAGACAATGGTCCAGTGTTTGTACTGGACCACAGTCCAGTCCTTGGACACATCCTTTCCACTTAGTTCGTAGAATGAATTTAATACCAACAAATTTATGACAAAACTTTACTCCAGACTGTATCTTTATTGGCTTTCACAATCACTCAAGTTTCTCTCATAAAACAAAACAATTTGAAACTTTGTACATTCAACCCAAAAACCAAATCTCAGCATCAACCATTTAGCCCAAGTTTTTTTAAACTGTACATTTCGGTATAGATTTGAATGAATAATACAGAAATGTGGGAAAAGCCACATTTGGTGCAGCACTTCACAGGTCCATGATTGCCTCAAACATAAGTGATTTCAGTTTAACATAAGCATAAGGGGCTCTTTCCTTGTTTGTGCATTATTTTTATCATTTACTCCAAACTTTACTCAGGTGTTTGTTTGATAATGTTTCCTCAAGTGTGTTAACAGATTTTAATTAGGTAGTCTAATTAGGTAGTCATTTTTGTACTCAGGGTGGAATAAATACTTAGTTTATAGATGATTTTCCTTAACCACGTGAAATCTAGCATATTGTGTGAAATTAGTAGATAAAGCAAGTTTTCTACCACAAGGCCATTACAGTTGATGATATAGTAAATGGGTTTTCTCTAGCAAAATTTACAAATCAGGAGTAAAATGAAAGCACCCTGAGCCGTGGTTGCTTTCAAAAACCAAATCTCAAGTGAAATGACCATTTTATCTTCGAGAATCTGAAATCTTCTGTCTCTGTTGTTGTTCTGTGAAAAATACCGTTTTGGAATCTGATGGTCTTGTGGCAAATTTGCTGTGTGCGAGGACAGTAAGAGGCCCCAGTTGTGTAATTCTCTCTGATCTGTATTCTGGCCCCCTGTTCAGCACAGCAGAGGAATGATGAGGTTTGTAGAGCTGGCTCTGGTAGTAAACACCATCTTGATGTGGTAAAAGTTTAATTAAAAAATAATCAAACATTAAGTCATAAATCCAAAAGTCTACTCCAAACTGTGTATCTCTTGCTGCTACTTCATTTGTTATATTTTTTTCCTTTATAGTCTTCATCTGTGAGGAGGTTCCATTCTCTGCGCTGCATCCGAGTACTCACGTTAACGTCAGAAATGCTTCCGCTGAAATGAGAAAAGCTTCATGTTCTGAGCAGAGCAGACATCAGGCTTGACGTCTCTGTCGTCCTGTTGCCTGCACCAAGAGCTGGGTGAGCTGTGATGAGCTCTCATCTCTCTGACTGCCCCCCCACTGGAAACCTGGGAGAGGATCAGACTGGCTGACTGTTGATGCAGGAGGCAGGATCTCTGTGTCAGGACTGTATTGTCCCCTTCAGGTACCACATTCCTGAGTGGCTTTTGCAGCACTCCTGGAACAACAGAGCACAGGTTAGATTGGTGGTAAACAGCTGATGAAAGGCAGATGTTCAGTCCCGTCACCATTCTCACATGGAGCAGCCGGTCGATGTCGGCCTTAGAGACGTCTCCAAATTCCTGCGCCAGTCTGGCTTGTATTACATTTCTCCTGACCCGGTAGTTTTTCGTAAACACTTCATACAGCAGCCGACGGTGCTACAGAGGGAAAACAAAAATACACTGAAGAATTAATTTAAAAGAATAGTTTGACATTTTGGAAAATGGTTTATTTACTTTCTTGCAGAGAGTTAGTTGAAATTAATACACCTCTCGTGTTCATTAAATTTGAAGCTATACCCAGCAGGTTAGCTTAGCTTAGCAAAGAGGTAGCTTGGTTTTTTTCCCCCCAAAGGCAACGAAATCCATCTGTCAACACTTCTAAAGCTTACTAATTAACAAATATTTGTCAGTTTAATCCATAAAAAATAAAAGCAGTTATGCAACTTCCAGAAGACACAGAGTCTGGTTAAGAAATGGCACATGATCCTCTGTAAGGCATCGCACACTGTGGTTGTTAATGAGCTGTGGAAGTGCTGACAGGTAGAATTTTTTGCAAGGCTAGCTGCTCCACCAAGCATCAACCGTTACCCATCTAAACTTTTAACAAGTAATGTAACTGTCCTACTTCTAACCTCTGTTGCAATATAGTCAAGCTTCATCTGCTTTCTGAAATTCAGTGCTCACTGAAGCCTTTGACTTGTGGTGAGTTTCAGCTGCAAATGTCTACATGTAGAATAAGACCTGAAGAGTGATGCGTTTACCTTGTCGAAATCCTCTCCAGTTTCCCACAAACCAAACACCTTCTGTTCATCAGAGGCTGCTGTGCTCTGCGCAGGAAACTAGAGGCAGTGGGGAAACAGCAAAGTTAGAAAAGCATTTGAGGAGTTTGCCAGTTTCTCTATGAACCTTCTCCTTGTCTTATCAGTGAAGTAAGCTCTCTCAGCACCCACTATGACTGTGTTTGGACTAACTGCCATCAAAACCTTAACTCAAAAGTGCCATTTTGCAGTAGTTAACAAGTTATGGTGTCTAATAATTTTCATTTCCCTCTCCGACACTTGAGTCTCCTGTTAACTGGATCACTGGAAATTCAAAACAAGAACAGGGCCGAGTAACAAAAACACTCAACACCCTTAACCAGGATTAAGCCTTCAGACAACGCACCAAGTCAAAACTGTAAGGCCATGTTCAGACTGAATTGCAAAGGTGTGAAATAACACAGTCCTTTCCATTCATTTCTATGGGGGATTGCGTTCACCACAGCCAGCAACTTTCACTGCACTGGATGGTGACATCATGCAGCAAGGTGCAGGCCCTTGCATTAAAACACAGCGGGGAGTTGCGTTTTTGCCAGATCAATGTGAATGTGCGGTGATGAAACAATAGGATGTGACAGACGATGCCACAAACACTACATCAAGGAAAACACAGCTGACAGAGAACAGACCAACTAGGTTAAACCTACAAGCAATAATCTCAGTTCAAACACAGAGGCAAAACCAGGAGACTAGTATCAGGTGGCTGCTAGAAGGCGAGTGGAACCTGAGAACCAGGTACATTGCTCCAGTGCACCCACTCCTTTACAATCAACAAAGTGCTCACAAGGAAAATGACCGTTAATGTCGTTATTCCGCGAGTGAAAAACGATAGCTGCGTTCATGATGCCAGCAACAAAACTCCCTTATTCAGCGCCCACAGGTATTTTAATCTAGACAGGGACCTGAGTAGCAGATGCTCCAGGACAAAGGCATTCTAATCTCAACACATTAAATCATAAATACCTTGTCATGTACAACTCGCTGGATTATGCTAAATCTGCTCTTTACTGTGCACACACTGAGAGGAAGAGCTGCTGCTGGTGTTTTCCTTTATTAAATGCTGTGCGGTCTTGGGCCTGATATTATGTCAAACTGGATTTCCAGGTTTGTATTGCTTCACTTTTTCACGATAGCTTTTGCAACACACCCACAACAATGCAGCCCCTTGTAGTGTTTTGCCAGTCTAGTGACCTTTTGAACATGGTCTTAAAAGTGAGAAGAGTATGCACTTCACTCAATTGTTGAGCTCTATTTAAAAGGAAGGATGAATATGTTGACACAAACAATAGAGACTGAGGAAGAAAGGAAAATAGGAGCATCCAGTGTGAATCCTTAATTTTGACCATAAAAGGTGAGGAATACTCACAGGCACCATTATCTGTTTGCAGTGGCAGAGCAGTATGGCATCCTGTAGCATGTGGTCCGAGAAGGAGTGTAAGACGTGCTGTCCCGCCGGTATGGAAGCCAGGTGAAGGTTAAACAGCCTCTTTAGCTCATTCAGTGTCAGTACAAAATGCTTCCTGAAAGTCTTTAACACAAATTCCTGCAGCTCTGGGGATGGCATGTTGGTGGGACTTCCTCCATTACCATTAGTGTGATCAAAGCCAAGAGAGATGGCACCAGGGTAACCATTGACCGAACCGTTGAGGACTGAAGACGATGGGGAAGAGGAGGTGTCCATAGGCTCGTCTTCCCTGTCACTGACAGGCTTCTGTCTCAGTGGGACGCTGCTTTCTGCACGTCTGGCATCCAGGGCCTTCTGTAGGGACAACTGGCTTTCCTGTGCACGCTCCTGAGCCATCTGCAGACGCTGCTCCCCACTGACGTGGACAGGCTCTAGAAAACAGCGGTCAGTTCAAATAAAATGTATCTGTTGGAGCCATTTATACTGCAGACAGTATGTTTATGGTGTGTGTTTTGTTGTATTTGATTTGCTATAGATGAGCATTTCTGTACCAGAGCCACAAATGAATATTTAATGTGTTATCTAATAACTGGCTATAACAAATATAAGTCAGTACACACCAGGCTGAGGGCAGTTCTTTGGCATGAAGTCTTCTTTAGAGAAGTTAAAGACCTTTTCCAGTCTTTAAGAAAAAGGTAAGGCATTTGAGAAGAGACAAATCATTGGTGACACTCAACTAATAGCACTCCCAAGATTCACAATAATACCCTGATGAGATATGAGATTTTCTTCAGTTTAACAAACAAATTCATCCTGCTTATGTAACCTACTTGCTCTGGATGCCAAGCCACAGCATGTGCTGCCTGTGGGCAACATCTGGGTGTTTCTTAATGAAGTCTACATCAGTAGGCAACAGGAACTCCCAGCCCCGGTTGATCCGAGGTGCTGCCACATGCTCCAGGAACTCCTTCACATCCTCGGGAGGAAGCTGACATAGACCGGAGGAAGGACTTGTCAGTACAGTTTACCAGAATTAAAGGAAACAACTGTAGCCTGAAGGTGGCAGAAACAAGCTAGCGGTCAAAGACATGGCTCAGCACCTAAACAACCATGAAAGACATTGGCACTGAGCATTTCTCAGGTGAACGAGTTTGTTTTTGTTAAGGCCACACTCTCGCCAAGAACTCCCCTCTACTGTTTGATAAACAAGAAGGTTGGGAACTTACAGTGGGTACGGAAAGTATTCAGACCCCCTTAAATTTTTCACTCTTTGTTATATTGCAGCCATATGCTAAAATCATATAAGTTCATTTTTTTTCCTCAATGTACACACAGCACCCCATATTGACAGAAAAACACAGAATTTTTGACATTTTTGCAAAATCTAAGGGGGTCTGAATACTTTCCGTACCCACTGTATATCACCCAACTGCACCTTCATAGGTAAAACAATCCAGTCTAACAAGATTTTTTTATAAAAGGGGAAATTATTGCACCTCCACAAACAATGTTCTTGCAAAAACTGTATGTTATGCATGTAACACCCAGAGGGACAGCGTTGCCATGAAATGCGCCTCTGAGGCAGCACATACTGTATGTCTTAAATAATTACATTTACGCAGCTATTTCTACTTATCAAACATTCCTGAAATGGCAAAAATTCTGCCATTTTGGCCATAACAACACTGAGATGAAAATAGCCCTTAATTAAAGAAGTGTAGTTGAGAGAATTCCCTCTGATCGTCTTTAGATATGGCCGATCACGTAAATCTGCTATGTTGGTTATACTGATCCTTACTTTGATGATGGATGCAATCTCCTTTCTCATCACAGAGCGCTCCAGAGTGAACCTCCACATCTTCAAAACAAAAAAAAACTGAGTCAGAACCACACGAAACAAATTATAGGGCATTATGTTGTGATCTTGGGTAACTCAGCAGCTTACCACAAAGTCCCTGCCACGACACAGCACTTCTGCAGGAACACCGCTGTGAGCACTGCAGGTGTTTTTAGGATACAGCACATCACTGGGGAAAGGGGGGGGAACATGAACATCACTCAACTGCCATGCCAGAATAGTTACTATAATCAAATATTAAAAAGCACACAGGCTGTGCAGGCCGCAGAGTTCACTTGTAGGCTGTGATAGGTGTAACTTTAAATCTTTCTTTGACATTTGTCCTCATTACAAATCGGTCTGCAATGGAGCAACAGATACTTAATTTCCATGCGCAACAGGATGGACTCACCTCTTGACAACCCAGTTTCCCTGAACTAGCAGTGCCACCTGTTGGATGCAGCGCAGCACTGCGGTTGAGTCTGTGCCAGAGGCGAGCAGGCCCATCAGGTTTGCAAATGGCATCACCTTGACTGATGGTGTGGAAAAAGTTGTCAGAGGAGTGGCAACCAATGTTAATGTTAAATTTACAGCATTCTAGTAGATGCATTCAATAAATCTAACTGTGAAACAGCTTCATGTATGTCTGGCGTCATTACTAACTCTTTGTTGACCCCATCTAGCACAAACAAAAGCTGCACTGTAAATGTGAAACATTTTGGACAATTGTTTGCAATTAAACTAATTCAAAAATGTACAAGTCATAAACTGCTGTTTTTAAAAGAAACACATGCACTACTATCCCTGTGCTACACCAAAACATTTCATGTATATGACCACTGTATTAGCCTACCATTTTTCATCAAGGTCTTGACTTGCTCTCCCAGCGGCAGAGTACGGAGTTGAGCCATGGAGAGCACATTACTGGGACCAACAGGTTTCACACTAAGAGAAGAGCAGAGAGGCAGTGATGTTAACAACTGGTCTCTGAAGCTATTAACCACTTAAAAACCTATGATCTTTCCTCAGAAAATTGAGGAATACTTACACTTTTTCCTCTGCGAGAGGGGGCATCAGCATCATCAAGTACTCCCTAAGAAAATAAGAGAAATCAGTCAGTGAGAGAGGTGAGCATGTAAGGAGGAACGAGTCCAGAAATACACAGACACAAGAATTAAAAGAACAACCCTGGCAGAGGATTTTGTACTTTTAAAACTATCAATAAAAGCCATCATGGCTCAAACACCTGCAATAGTGACAACCCAGATAACCTTCTTCTGCCATTAACCATCTACTGTAAATTGCAATAGATGTATTTGCAATCAGAACAAACAAGCAGTTTGGTGGCAGAAAATACTCTGAGTTTATAACTTTAAACTACATCTGTATGATCTATATGATCATTTATGGACAACCAGCTGAGACAAAAATAGATGTGTTAGTAAAATCTAAAGAACAGAGCCTACAAGTAAAACTGAGGCTTAAAATGTCATTTGTTCATACTCACTTAGGAGTTTTGACCAGTTCAGAGTTCTGTGAAGCGTCCACTGACTGACAGAACAGGTACTGCCTTTCATGCTCTGAGCGGCTATCCTGAATTTAAATAACATGACAAAGCCAAAACTGATGAGACAAACCCTTCATGACAACAGCAACAGTGAAAGTCAACTACAGTACAATACAGCACACACTGGATGATGTGCTAAATGTAACTCAACAACAGAAGAATGACATAGTCAAACAGAGGAATGTGGTACCCTATCAGTAAGTCCACCCCCACCTTGACACCGTGGTAGTGCAGGTGAACCCAGGGCTCCTCCGCCTGCTTCTTCTGGAGAAACTCGTACGACTGGATCCTCCTCTGCCGGGCCTGCTCCGACTCAAGGCGAGCAAACCTCACCTGGAGCGGGACATGTGCAGAAAACTTTAAACATGATAGGTTTGATGGGTGATATCTGACAAAGTAAGTGTAACTATTACTTTGTATGTGTTTGTGAGCGTGTGCACAACTGCTCACCGTGATGGCCTTGGCTTCCTCATCAGCCTCGTCTTGGGAGGAGTCTCCACCTGCAGACATAAGACTGATAGTCTATTACATTTTTCCAGAAATCAAGGGGACATCTGGCATTTTTTGTGAAAAAAAAAAAAAAAAAGACAATTATAATAGGAGAATAATACAATTGCAAATTAATTTTTTGTCCACCAAATTATCACTTAATCAACCGATAAATGCAGTTTTAAAAAGCCTGTGGAATTTTTCCCCTTATAATAAATAGTAGTCATTGTTTTATACTAAATGGCAACACGAATAATTAATTTTGAAAAACAGGAAAATAGAGACACACCTTCATTGGCTGCCTCCTTCTCTCTGGTTTTGTTGTCAGCCTTGTCCAAGTAAGAGAAGCTGGGTCTCATCTGGAGAATTCCTGTCAGAGGTGTGATGTGAAGCTCACCTATTGACATATATTATAAAACAATCAGAAACCAAGTCCTGCTTCTGATCAGTAATAATGCAGCGATGGTTGACTGTGAACTCATGATGATATGTAGACATTCCTACTGACATACATCATTTAGCTTTAATGTAAAAACAGTAAAATTGTGAACTGTAACTTAAAGGCAGCAGCAACAATGTTAGACAAAGTAGAACATATGCATGGTACTACAGAACTGCCGGTTCAGACCTTTGCGAAACACAGCAGCAGCATATCTGGAGGTATTGGTGGTGGCCTGGATGGAGGAGAAAGTCTGTTTGTCCATCATTTTCCTAGAGAGGAAAAGTAAAAGAAGAAAACTCAGATCACATATATCAATCAGATTCATTCCCAAATTAACACTGTCCTTTGGGACAATAATACAAGTAAGCAGTTGTGTTAAGGGAAGAGTTAAAAATAATAAGCACAGATGTCAAACTATTCCTAGATGCCAGTGATCAGTATTAAGAGACAGAAACACACACAATAGGTCGGTGACAGTTGGAGTTCAGATGCAGTTTGACATTAGACATACACTGAATAGGTGCTGGTTTCATCACAAGTTGTGCCATCCACATTCAGAGCTATCTGCTCTCCTTTGCTACGACAGTAGTTAGGACTCATTGTGTTGATGGCCATTTCCAACTCCACCTGTATAATGATTAGCACAAAACATTTTTACAAACACTTTCAGAAGGAAAAAAATTATCTAGAGAGATGGATTTTAAAATAAGAAAGAGCTTTTTTTTTACCCTTTGCTGCTTGGGTTTGATCTTAGCTGATAAATGGTCGACATCATCATAGGTCATGGTCGATGGTCGGACAGGGTACTGTGTCAGAAAACACGCAGAGGTGATTTGTTACTCGTGACATACTTAACATTAGAGATCAGTCACGCTACAGATTAAAAGAGAAAATGCACACAGTCATATCAGCATTATGTATAACAAAAAAAAAAATCTTACCTGAAAAAGATACAGCTTATCTGCAAGGCTTTTAGCAAGGTACACGTCAATCTAAAAGAAATAGAAACATTGATCAGAGCCACTCATGAATTTAAGCTTTTGATTATTGGGACCTTTTAGAGATGTCTGTGATTGTTTCAGATGCTGTTTGTGACTGGCTGTGCTTGTGGTGCCTTTCTTACAAAAGAGATCTTGATCTCACTGAGATTACCTGATTGAATAAAGGTTATAAACAGTGGTCATCATAAAAGTCAGATGTTTTCCTGATCTGTTACTTTCATTCACGCAGCACCAGCAGAGCAGTCCTTGGCCTATGGTACCTTATCTCAAAATGACCCCAGTACTGTGTGGTATAGAGGTTTTAAATTAGAGGAAAAAAGAGCAATGGCATGTGACTGGTAACCAGCATCGTCACAGTTTTGCTGTCATCTTTCATATTACAGCAGCCTAATTGAAATGTTAATAGACTGGCTTGATATGGGTTAGTTTCCTGGGAGAACTGACAAATTCAAGCGATAAGGCTGGCATTATTCTGCATGTATGTAATTGTCAAGAAATTCCCCAGTTGGACACTGGGCAGCATTTAGCAAATGTTACTCAAACAGGACTACATAGTGCATTTGTTGCAGACTAGTTTGAGTTAACACAATTTTGTGATGTAATGAGTATTTCTTGTTCCACATAAACTGCAGTGCCTGTGTTTGTAAAAATGAAAACCTATCACACAGTGAAATGGTGTAGCTCAGTGATCTACTCTGGACAACAGTGGAGCTCTATGGCAAAAAGGAACAAGATTTATCATGCTCCAGCTAAAGACATCTGTTAGTGGGATAAATTCATTGTGGATGAGAATAGCACCAGCCAAACCCATTAATTTCTGCCTATGCACATACCTGAATGTCCAGATATCACCAGTGCATGAATGTGTGAGAATAAGTGAGTGGCTAAATAGTGTTAAAGTGCTTTGAGTGTGCTTCAATGCATAGAAAAGCACTTTACCACACCTCTTCTATAATGGGGTCATCATCATCACCGCTGGCCATAGTGGTACAAGCAGAAACAGGACCAGGGCAGGCAGCAGATCTCAGAGATCCAACCTGGAAACACAAAGCCACAGGAATTTATTCAGCAAACACACTCACATCACATATTACCACATGCTACACCAATACTGGTAACAAAAAAACATGACAAACAGCTGCAACAACTACCACGTGATACTGCCTATCTGGGATACATTAGAATCCATTATACTTAACGTTAGCCAGGATGTTTCTGGTTGTCAGCCTTCGGTAAATGTGTAGTAAATGTGAAAGAATAAATCAAATCAAATCAAATCAAATAGCAAGTCCATCTTCAATTAGCCCATTCAAGAAAGTAAACCACGAAAATGTTGGTCGATAGAAAGACCATGATCGTGCAGTTTGCTAAGTGAATACCATCACTGACACAGCCAGGTAAAACTCACATGATGTAACACATGTGAAATCCCTAATCTGTTCTTCATGCAAACACTTAATAACAAATGTTACAATACGTACAACAGCGCATTGAGACCGCTATAATAGCCATCACATGAAATATTTCTTAAAAAGCAGCACAGGTTTCTGTTGGGTTTGCTTGATTGGCAAGCTAGCAACGAACGCTTCAGCCACTTGTTCGAGGCCTGTACTACACTGCGGTTTAACGTTATTCTGATATAACAAATACATACAACTGCTTAAAAAAGCAAGAGAAAACGCAACAAACCCAGTACTGTCATTTAAGCTATATAAAACAAAAGTATAAGCAACGAAAGTAGCGAACCGGCTAACAGCCGGTGCTAACTAGCCGTAGCAACTTTAGCCTAGCATTAGCAAGTTACCTTGGATGCCAGTAAAATAACACACAATCGGTCACCAGTGCCTAGTTTAACACGGCTGTTTTTCTATATTCCAATCGGGAAAGATTTAGCTCTCACCTGCACAGTTTACTGTATAGTTTGTAAAAGCTGTAAATGTGGTGCGCAGATGTGCAGCAGTGAACTCGTTGACGCTGCTCCACACAGACACGTGGGGAGGTGCCTATACCCAAAAATTACATGGGTCCGTTTTACGCCACACTTGTGTTATTGTTTGTGGTCAGGGGTTTTAAGCTTTATAGCAATGACAGTGGGGTTCCATGCATGTACAATGGCATTAATTATGTGCGGAATACATTATCCAATGTACACAAAACATATTGGCAGCGGTGGGATTCGAACCCACGCCCCCGAAGAGACTGGAGCCTTAATCCAGCGCCTTAGACCGCTCGGCCACGCTACCTCACTGTTGTGTGTTTTAGTCCACATCCTAATAGTGAACAACACTTTTGCCTTTCTCTTCCTCTTTTTGTAGTGTTTTGTCTCTTTGAGTGTCTATATCAGGGGTGTGAAACGTACGGCCCGCCAAGGGTTTCAGTCCGGCCCGCAGGATAAATCTGAGAGTGAAAAAATGCAATGAAACATGAACTAGATTTTTTTTATAAACTGCTATTCCTAAATTGTTGCACTGTTTTAGACATGGAGCAGCTGAAAGAAGAAGAAGAAAAAGACAAAACAATGCTGAGATAGACACATCTTATGTTCAGTGATTACTACGATACATCTACTTACTATTGTACTCGCCTTCACACCCTCATTAGGCAAAATGGAGAAAAAAGGAGAAAAGTGGATACCGAGTGTAGAGTTTACCAAGAAAAATGAACTGCTTCCTATTTAATCACAGAGGTGAACGGGAAACTTGTGTGCTTGGTGTGTATGCAACACGTGTCGGTGTGAATATAATATTCGGCGCCACTATGAGACTCAGCATGGTGGAAAATACGACAACTGCAAAGACAACTGAGAAAAGAGAAGATAAATGAATTACTGGTGGGTCTGAAGAAACAGCAGTCTGTTTTCACTCAGAGCCGAAAGGCTGATGCCGCAGTAAAAGCCAGCTATAATTGCTAACGAAATAGCATTAGCATCAAACCCGTATTGGAAAAAAGCAGGTGTTGTGACAAAATTCAGAGAGAAAGTACAAGCCGTGAATGAAGGAGACGCTTTTTGGACATTTCACTGTATTTTGCACCAGGAGGCATTGTGTTGCAAGACATTAAAATGGATCACGTCATGGAGGTGGTTGTCCAAACTGTTAATTTTATCCGAGTCAGAGGTCTGAATCACCGTCAGTCTGACTGCCTTCTCAGTGACAATAACCCATGGCCTGCCATACCACACTGAAGTAAGATGGTTAAGCCGAGGCGCTGTGCTGAAGCGTTTCTATGAGCTACGAGAGGAAATTGGACAGTTTATGGAGACAAAAGGAAAACCAGTGATGGAATTACAATCTCCGGGATGGCTGCAGGACCTTGCATTTATGGTGGATATTACAGAGCACCTCAATAATTTGAACAAAATGTTACAAGGCTGTAAAAAAGTTGTCACACAGTATTATAACAGCATATGTGCGTTCAAGTTGAAGCTGACTTTGTGGGAGACACAGCTGGTATGTGGTGACCCTGCTCGTTTCCCCCTGTCTAACTGTCGTTAATGCTGACATGAAACGGTACAAAGACAAGATTTCAGGATTGCTGTGGAAGTTTGAGAAACGATTTCAGGTCTTTGGTGAACTCGAGACAGAATTCACAGTTTTTTGCTCATCCTTCACAGTCAAAGCTTCTGATGTGCCTGTCGACATCCAATTAGAAATAATTGATTTGCAATGTGATACAAATATGAAGAACAAATGTGCCTCAGTGGACTTGGACACATTTTATCAGTATCTCCTGCCAGGGTACCCCAAATTAACAGCCCTAGCTGCAAATATGTTGTGCATGTTTGGGACTACCTACCTTTGTGAACAGGTTTTCTCAGTAATGTACATCAATAAAACCAAACTGTGCTCAAGGCTCACACTTAAATGACATTCTGAAACTGGCTGCTACTCAGGACATGACGCCTGACACTGATGCACCTGTGCAGGCTAAAAGATGCCAAGTTTCAGGAGCAAAAACAAAGTCGTCTAAACTAGACTAATTCTTGTAAAATGCTCACTCAAAAAAAAAAACAGTTATGTGAAAATGAATCCTTGTATGTGAAAATGAATCCTTGCTGTAATAATAGTTAAAAATTGTGCAATTTAATGTTAGTCACCAGCTTCACTACAAAAGAGTTTGGTCATAAATTTTATATATGCATTTTTATGTATGTTTCATGTATAAATCTTATATTTACAGGCCAGCTTTCTTTGTTGTACATTTAAAATGGCCACCACTTTGGTTTGTAAGATGTGGGGAGTCAATTTAGGTTTTGAGGATTATTACACATGTGGAAAATTGAGTAAAAATAATTCCTATATCTTAATAAGTTGATTTAATCTTAAAGTGCAATAGGCTACCATATCTTTTAGTTCTAAATACCTGTGACTTACAGTTTTGTGCCTTTGTACAATGACTGTGATCAGTTGTAATGCACACATGTAAATGATAAACTAAAGAAATTGCATGTTTTTCTTGAGAAATCTGAAGTTGTTCATAACATGTTTTGTAAAAGGATAGTTCATTAAATAAAAAAATATCCTAATATCCTAAAACAAAGGGGAAAACATGAGTTTATTGTTATTTATAGCTATGATGAACTATGCTATGATTTTAATGGTCCGGCCCACTTGACATCAAATTAGGCTGCATGTGGCCCCTGAACTAAAATGAGTTTGACACCCCTGGTCTATGTAGTACTTTGTGACTGTGGTTGCTTGGGGCCTGCTTGTAGTATTTTTTAGTTTTTGTGGTCATTTTGCATAATGTACTTAGCAACTCTATGGCTATTCTGCATTTAGTTTTGCACGTCAGTATTACTTTTTGTATGTTTGTAGCAGTTTTGAGTCTCTTTGTGTTTCTTTCTATTCATTTATTTGACTTTCCAACAAGAAATGTAAACAGCCACTTCAAACAGAGGCCTCATAATCCTTTGGGCCACGTGGGCCTCTACCAGTCAGGCCTGTTCAATAATCCATTTCTGCACCTTGGTAAACACTGAGCTCACCTTTTTAAAACTCTACATTCATCACAACAGTCGATGTAGATTGAACTCTAGATAACTCTCCAATTGCTTGGAAGTACTTGACTCTCATTTGGTGATTTCTGCCTGGCAGGTTTTCAAAATAATAGTTCTGATAAAATTAGTTGATGTGAACACACTTATGAAGTGTTTTAGTTGCATTGGTGCACTTTGGATTCAGGATTGTTGTGCTGAGCTCTGTGTTGTCAAAAAGAAGTGTGTGTGTGGTGTGTGTGTGTGTGTAATAAATGGCTCCAAGACAACCTCTCCGTTGGGAACTGCAGGGTAAAACTGAATCCTTTTTACTGTTATTTAAAGTGTTACTAAAAAAAAAATCCATCTCAGGGTCAGTAATAAACACAGCATATCAAGTGTATAATGACAACGATTACCCATAAAAAGCAACATAATCGTTATTTTACATTTTTATACTCCAAGCATTTTACATACATTCTTTCATCATTTGTCAAAATTTGTGGAAAATTAAATGAACCACTTTCTTTGCTTTGATTCTCCAGGCCTTCTCTTTCATGCAACAACAGTCACTTTAACATAAAGGAAAGACAAGAAATAAAAGAAACGGAGTCAAGATGAAACAGTTGTACATCTGGTGCTAGAATGCTAAGCACACACACCCACACAAACCAATAGCAAAACATTCTGTAATACAAAATATGTAAACTGTGACATTCAGATTGCATCCTGAATGTGTAAAAATCAGACTGTGTCTCAGTCAGGCTACTACCGCGGCCTTTGTGAGATGCAAGTGTGTATCCTGAGTTACTCCTCCATTAGCGCCCAGGCTTCTTCGGCTTTCATGTAGTACTGGTTAGCCAACCTGCCTTTCATGGCCGCCGTGGCAGCTTCTGCAGCTTCTGTAAACAGATCACCTGCAGAGAGGGAGGAAGGAATAATATGAGAGGTGAGGATGGTAATATTTTCATAGCAATGGATGGAAAGAAATTTCACTATTACCACATAGAGTAAGGACAAGGCTGACGATATTTTATATTTATTCAACAAATCCTGTGAAACACTACAACATAATAATTCTATATTATATGTGTCTCCAAAGTCTGACATTTCTTATTTCTGTGTGCCATAGACTCCACTGTTGTCCAAAACTATACTGTAGTTTTTGTTAATTTGGAGTAAATCCACATACACTGTCCTCTGTAAACACTGATTATTATGTATTATTTACTCGTGTTTTTAAATATTTGCTAAAAACTTCAGAATCCAGTTGTTTTAAGAAATTACTGAGCCTTTTTTAAATTAAACTATATTTGTGGGCTTAGAAACAGGGTAGGAACATCTAAAATTCTTTTAATGAGATTTACTGGCAATAGGCAAAATACAAAATAATACCAATAATACCAACCTTTGCACTTTCTCTGTATACTATTTCAAAAATATTTCACATAAAATCTTATCTTCTGAATATGGAATACTCAGCTGTGTGGCTCTGATGAGTATGTAGCTGTAGTCAGATTCACAGCAGATACAGTTGAGTCGCAGAGCAATTCAAAGTATCAAAGATGTAAACCATCCATAGAAGCTTCCCAAACCCCTCCTGCAGCATGATCCACTTCTCTGCTATTGAACAGTATGCTCACTAATGCCAATTACCTTGCTAAATACACTTTTAGCAGGCTGCATGGGGTTAGTTTTGATACTAAAAATACCCGTTTTAGTGGATATTCCATAAATTATGAGGGTATACTGAGGTACATTTAGCTCAGCGAGGCCTGTTGTGTTAGTATGGAGTCGAACCTGCTCTCTGTGGATCTGCAGTGAGGTTGTAGCCTCCCTCCAGGAACATCTCTGCCTCTCTGGCCAGCAGCAGGTAGCGAGGCTCGTCCTGTGTCCCATCAAACTCTCCTCCCTCATCATAGTCTGTCATGTTCAACGCACTGTCATACCAGTGAATGGCTTCCTCCCAGTCCTGCTTTCTGCATAGTTCAAAGATAAAAAGGCCCAATTCTCAGCTTCAGTTTCAAAAGTAAGCCTGTCCTAAATGCCACCTCTGAAAGTCCCATCAGTATTTTCACTGCATCAAGACTCATCATCTTTATAACTAACATCACCCTCACTAACCTGTCAGCTGACAGATTGATTCCAGTATCAAAGGCTCTGGCTACTATGATCATAGAGGATCTGTCACCAGCTTCAGCAGCCTGCAACAGATACTTGAACCCTTTCATCCTGTTTCCTGCATTATCCTGTGAACAACACATACGTCAAAATGCAAATGAAACCACAGTCAAATCAGCTGAAGAACAGGCAAAATACACAGTGCATAGTACCTCCAGCGCCATGTCTGGCAGTATGTGATGAGGGAGTTGAAGACAGCACTGTCCCAAGGCGACAATGGCCTCCAGCTCTCCACACAGAGCAGCCCTCTCCAGGTGGAACATGGCAGAATCCTGATCCCACGGCTCGTCCTTCTCACAGAAACGACCTGCTTCATGGTACCGCACCATTGCCAGATGGACCTGGGCAGCAGGAAGGAGATCCAGAGTATCTTAAAACATGACACTTGAATTTAAAAGTCACTGTGTATTCTGAATTTCAAAGGGCAACGTAGACGCCAGGACAGATTTTTTAGTAGGGGGACACATAATGATTTTTGAGCTAATTATACTTATAATTTATTCAAGGTGCCACGACTGACTGGACCATGCTGGGCCGATAATGTTCCAGTCAGTTATATTAGACTGCATAACCAATGCAGTATGAAAACCGATTCTCACTAATCAATAAGTCTCATATGCTAAACGTTTACTGTTACCCAGCACCTGCAAAAATGTATGGATGTGTGCGTGTGTGTGTGCGTGCGTGCACTGTGAAGATTAGTACGTCATATACTTCACACAATTAATATGAAGTACACAGCAGTAGTCTACCTGTCATCCAGCATTTAATATCTGCTCCTTTTTGACTGTAAGAACAATCGACTGTAAAAACGATGGACAGCCTGACAGATCCCAGAAGTAAAGCCACCAAAAGTTGATCGCCCTCTGGTGGAATAAACCCTGCCTCCGCCATGTGGATGTGACATGAGCCACAATAAAAACTCCAAGTACAAATCAAATAAATTTTTCCCAGATATTACTTCTGTGGTTTTTGGTAGATATTATCACGCTGATATGTGTACAAACGGTCACTGGTAAGTTTGTTTTTAAAAAGTTATTTGATGATATAAAAAGAGGTGTATTTTGGTGGTCCAAGGAGCTTGCTCCACTTCTGCATCAGAATCTGGTTGCAAAAGAGCAAGATGGCAGCTGCTGTATTCATGATATTTTGGCTTCATTTTTACACAGTGCAGGGAGGTGGTGATGCCATGTCCATCATATACAGTATGTGTCAATAGTAAGGACTATAAAGGTCTGTGTATGTTAATCCATCATCTTTAGCAATATCAAAAGAACCAGTTTGTAGGTGTTTTCTTACCTTTCCGAGGTTTGACTGACCAATCTTCTTCTGCAGCAGTGTGCTGAGTCGCTCCACCTCAGTGGCCACACAGGAAGATCGGTGGACGTGAGCGCGGGACGAATGGAAGAAGCTCCACTTTTCTTCTGTCAGCTGAGTCCACAGACAAAATGCAAGAAGAAGAAAAGAAAAAGGGGAGAATGATATGATCTGGTCTCAACTGCTGTAAACAGAAAAGTAATTGGATTGTGAAATTTAAATCAGGTGCATGATGAATAATCACACTCCACTCTCAGGGGCATACTCGTCCAGAAAAGTCTGCTTTAAATTTTAATGACACAGATGAGCGCTGAGCTCAGAGTTGGAGGAGTAAACCCCTGTTGATACTCAGTGAATGCAAAAGCATGGGAGCATGGGCACACACAGAGAGTTAATATGATGAGAAACATTAGCAAGATGGTGGAGCTGGTGAAACAGAGGTAGATGGTGTTTCAGTTCCAAATCTCATTTTTATTTTCCACTTTCAGACTGTTAAACAGTGGCAGCTTGCTCAGCTCTTAATGTGAGAATCATGCTTGAAATGTAAAGCTTTCTAGCAACAACTCTGGACAACACTGCACAGGGAAATGCCTGGGTTACGAGCCTCCATGCAAGTAATCACCGACTGGTTGTCAGGAGTGTATGAGTTTAAGTTGGCAGAGACTCTTGGAGGAGCTACCATCTTCCTCTAATCAGGGAACACAAAGAGCAGGAGGAGCTAGATTAGAAGAAAGGTGAGGAATGTCTTATATTGTTAAGCAAGTGATGAGAGAAAAGGGAAAAAACAAAGTGAGGAAAGACATGTATGATGAAACTCAGAGGAGGGTTATTTGATTATGATCGAAGTGAGGATGCCGTTTATACACCGTTGTCTCTATGTTTGTTTACCCGTCTGACACTGTCTTCATCCGACTCGGAATAATGTCTGTGGTAGCGATGATGGGCCTATGTGATGATACAACATGCAAATTATAAAATCTGTTCCCAGAGCATCTAACAGTTATCTAAACTTAATTTGGAGAGGAAATGTTAACAAACTTACAGCTACTCATAAAAATAAGGAAAGTCTAACATGTTCAGTAAGTGTTAAATATTGATATGTTCATTTAAGATAATATGCCAGAGTATGCTTATAACTGTGCCCAAAATATAAAACATAAAACATGTATTTACACTTCTAAATGTGATTTAGACACTGTAAATATAGTACTCAAATTAGTTAATATATCTAAACTTTATTTTGTGATTTGATATGTATATTTGGTCAGATACAATCACAAATGCATTTCTTAGCCATTGTGTCTTTAGAGGTTAACTGAGGAAAATCAGTCCTGGAACTTGTCTGACTGACCAGATTAAATCACAGGAAAGTCAAACAGAAGTCTTTACCCCATCTACGTGGTCATTTGGGTCGCCTTCACTCCTTTTCTCACTGGGATATCCGCTGTCACCGCCACTTTCAGATTCCTACAGAAACACACCAGAAAACATTTTTAAAAAAAATCTGTGTAGTGGCTCAGAGGTTTTGCAGGTCTCACGACTTAAATAATAAGGATAATCATCTTTATTGGCCAAGTATGCTACACACAAGGAATTTGTTTCCGGTGCAGAACTGAGGCAGCCATCTGCGGCGCTAACTTAACTGATGGCTCTAACCATCAGGGGAAACTTGGGGGTTCAATGTCTTACCCAAGGACACTTCAACATGTGGACTGCAGGCACCGAGATTTGAGGCTCCGACCCTCCGGTCGGGTGACAACTGCTCTACCCACTGAACCACAGTCACCCCCGACAGTAGCAGCTCATAAATCTGGTCTTTCTTTTCTAGTGATGATAATGAAACATTCATTCATGCTTTTTTATCATCACATCTAGATTACTGCAGTTTATCATGTTGAGCCAAAAAAGAAACTCACAATTTGAGTTGATTTTAAGATTTTACTGACCGTTTACAGCACATTAAGGTCAGTCTTTAAAAAAAAAGTTACCCCAAAGTTAAAAATTTCCAGTTTTAATGTCTTTTAATTGCACCATTAATTGCCTGATTTAAGTCTATTGTAGTGCTGAAATGTTTTCATCTTGATTTTTGCATGTAAATCACCTTGTAACTTTTTGAAAGGTGCAGATAAATATAGTTTATAATTAAGAGCATTACAGAATTCAGCAAAAGTGCGTTTTTTTAACTTTTAGCTTTTTATCTCATCAGCTGACCTATGACCTACCTGTTATGTTGCATGCATGTTATCAAACACATTAAGATTTCAGTCCTAGTTTATTTCGTGCTTGTGCTTAATGTGAAAACACAATGTGTGGCTTAATATTTCTGATCACACTTTAAGAAGCTACTTTGAATCCAGAGCAGGAGACTTTGCCACTAACAATGAAGACTATATAGAAAGGTATTTACATAATGTACATACAATAAATGGCTACTGCAGAAAAAAAATGGAGTTCATAACTATAATCGGAAATGGGGTAATACAGAGTTAATGACAACCTTGAATTATCTAAATTTTGTTGTATATTTTAGTACAATGACAATAAAAGTATCTATCCATTGAACCTTGAGGACTATAATGTTGTGCAATAAATGAAGAAGCACATATTTTGGCTTCTCTTACCTGGGTTTACATAGTTGAAAAATAGTTCAAAATGTAATAAAATGCACTAAAAATGGACCTGAAGAGTACTGGCTGCACTAAAACTATTTGGATATGGGATACATATACAGAAAACACAGAATAATTTTTCTGTACTGTCACATTCAGTGAGTTACTTCTCACCTTGTGTTCACCTGTGTTGATATTGTTGAGTCTTTCCTGTTCGTACATTCCAATAAAGGAGGAGCCTGTAAAATGTAGGAATAACACAAAACTAATTACAATGTGGACACCACGGTCAACTACCTAACACACACTGTTATACGTGTGTAGTATGTAGTAATGTCTTCATGTACGTACTGATAGGTGACTTGCCCATAGAGTGGAGGATGAGTGGGGAGCAGGGAATTGACTCCACGTCGCTCATGGACTCATCTGCAGAAGATGTCTCAGACAGGCGGGATAACAGCAGAGGAGCGCGACTTGCTGACAGGGTTCGGACACGAGGAGAACCACAGGGCTCCTCGCAGCCCCTCAGCACTGTCTGGGCTGATTTCTGAAATAAGATTCCAAAGCAGCCAAAAAGTCACATTCACAATTGTATTTCTAATTTTTAGGAACATTTATTTATATTTTTACCATGACCTTCTGCAGGGTTCTAACCCTGAACAACACATAATTTATTATTATCAAAATAACAAAATTACAAGCAGTTTGTTGGTGCCGTCCAGCTGTGACTTCTCTGCAGGCGAGATGTCAAAAGGGGTTAGGCCCATACTCTTACAGATCTTGTTACACAGGTGAGAGTGGAAGAACAGCGCCATGCCTCGCACACCTGGAAGATAGTCATGATCAAGGCGGTGCTTCTTGGGTCATTTCTAATCAAACTTCACGCAAGCCTCTTTGTCAGCATCAAAGGGAACTGTACCAAGATTTCCATCTCCAAAGTCAGTCCCCTTCTCTGTGTGGATCTGAGGGTCGGTGTAAAGATCTCCGACTCCCTGGATGTCCACCACAATCAGCTGGTGTCCAGACCGCTCAAACGTGAAATGACTGAAGGCCTAAGGATACAGAAGGGAATGAATGATAAAGATTATTAAATGAGTATTAACTGAACATGTATCAATATGTAGGGATGGCATCACTTACCTGTGGGGTGAGTCGGATGGTGTCATCCTTCACAAAGCCTGAGTTGGAGTTGTATTTGATGTACTTGCCCTCAATGTAATGTTCAAGATGGTAGAGAGGTTTACCTGGTCTGTTTGTCATCTCCACCACATACATCTGCATGATGTCCACCTGAGGATTTTACATGGGACATGCAGATTAATTGCACATTCTCAGGATCCAGCTTCTCATATGGCAGGATTTTGTTTTTTCTTACACACAGTATATATATGCAGTAGGGTAAACTGAACACCTTTGTCACCTTTGCTCTGCAAAGTTGTGACTGACATGTTCTCTCAATTTTTGACATTTCAAAGATAAAACGAATTGTCAATTCAAATCAATAATGAAAATAATCATTAGTTGAGGCCTAAATCTACAATTGAAATGTGTTCTGTTATCAAAATAACAAGGACTAGACAACTAAGCAACCATGTACTGTGAATGTTTTTTGAGGGATTATCACTAATTTTATCTCTATTTTATGTCTCGTCAGCACCTCGCTGGACTGTAACTGTTTCTCTTGTACCTGTTTGGGAGGTCGGTGGCGGTTGTACTCCTCTCCCCAGAGCTTCGCCTCCATCTGCAGCCTAACGTCCTCAAAGTAAACATTTCTGTCCACTGTTTCCATGTAACGCTTGGCCACGTAGTTAGATGCTGACTTCCAGTTGCTGCTGTGTGAGAAATTAGACAACTTCTTCCTGGAGGGAAAAGACCAGTTAGATATATTATTAGTGAGCAGCACTGCTCCTACATGTACATTTATTCACTGTGCATGGATGAAATAGTCTCTCACAGTTTGAAAACTTTATTAAAATATATGCTTCATTTCTTTTTTTCACTTAAAGCAGCTACTGGTATTGATCTCAAAAGAGATCACCCTGGATCAGAGTTGTCCAAATTAACAGGAACAACATACCATATTTCAGTTGTATAAATTTTCTTTTTTAGGACCCCATGCTCAAGGTTTTATCAGGGAGACATGTTTCTGTGGCATGCTGCAAACAGCAAACATGTGAAGTGTGTGTAATGGGATTAAACATGAACAATTAGACTATTATTCCTGTTCAAGCCAAGAAAAAAAGCACAGCAGCTTTAATAACCTAGGCTTAAATTCTTTTTACCAAACAGTAAATGGTATCAACACTGCAAGAGAACGTTTACACTAAAACTTGTGTACCATCGGGGGAGACTTTCTACAGCGGGTTCATTAGGATATTCTCAGTACCATCTTTGGTTGTGAATCTGTCGGCAGCTGTCCTCATGGGCACAGCAAGTAACTTGAGGAATGTTGTCCTGCTCCACTTATATGCTACATTAACCCTATAAAACCATTTATCATATTTGCTACGCAAGTTTCTGAGCAAAAAAAATCACCAAAAATGCCCCATGTATCTGATGTGATACAAAAAAATAATAATAATAATCTAAATAATATGGCACATTTATTCCTGTATGCCTGGACTGTCTGTCTATGCATAAATGGCAAATAAAAATCTTGTATCTTGAATTTTCTTTTGGATTTTGTTAAAAGGTTTAATAAACATCTCAGTTCCAAAACATTTGAATGCTCTGGCTATTTTTTTGATGTGTCAGGCTTTACAGGGTTAAGAGATATCTTTATTCTGTTTTGTTTACACTCAGACCACAGCAGCCTTGCTTACTAGGGGGCAATAACCACTAGATGAGAACAGATGAACACTGAAAAATATTTCAACGTACGTTCTGAAGCACTCCCTCATGGCCCCTTTCCCAAATGGCTGTGAGAGACCAGACAAAAAAAACAAACAAATTAGACAATGGATAACAGAGCGCAAGACTTTCTGATGTATATGTGTTCATCTAAATCTTAGCAGAAGATTATCAGTGATACCTGGGCAGCCATCTTGATGTGAATCTGGTCCTGAGCCCATTCTTCAGTGACGGCACTGTACCTGCAAAGAAGACGGAACCAGTGCCTTTCTGCCATGTTTTCTTTTAAAAAAAAAATCACCTAAACAATTGTCTAGATTATCACAGTTGTTGATTACCTTTCTGTCAATTGACTATTCAACTCATTGTGCAGCTCAATATATATGGTTTAGAGTCCACTACAGGGCTATGACACTGTTCCTCTTTTTGAGCAGAGAAACTGTCCGATTGTTTTTATATCGCATCACTGCTCTGTGTTACATTACAAATGTTCAATAAAAATAAGTGGCTGCACTTTGCAAAGTTAGTTACCAAAACAGTGCAAAAAGTTCTATTCTGTGGGAGAGTTTTCCTGTCAACAACCCGTTAAAAATTCTTATCACCGAGGCACATAAAACCTCTGGTTTCCTCTCTACAGAAAAACAAGCAGACAAGAAAGAAATGGGTTGTGTTAGTTTGCATCAGTGAGCCCTCTTTCCAAAAAAGGTCATTTCTTTTGGGAATCTATGGTTAAAGTCAGTGTTACAGGAAGGAATGTAGTCCAGCAAGAGCTGTGTCAATATGTCAATATGGTGATGCAAATTTGCATAATGTATGTCTAGGTCAGTGTGTGTGCTAGGCTTGGCAGAGTGTGTGTGTCCCGAGTTAATGACTACTGCATGAGTGCAGCAGTGAGACTTCACAGCTGAAACCTGAGAGCCTTTAAACTGCTGTAGAGGCTTAGTATTAAGCTCTCGTCTCCACTCACATGTCCACATAAGAACAGTGCTCCCTATCCAAAATCTACAGTAATCATCACTCTTTTCAGCCGGGGGAACTCTCTGTACCCTGACTTTCATTCCAACAAGTTCAAATTAGAAAGGCTATAAGAGAGCGAAGTGAGTGGAGTGAGGTTACATGTGGGTAAAATTAGCAAATGACAGGAGAGCACGAGGTCAAATCCCAAGCTCCTGACAATCCCTCCTCTCTCGCTCTATAGTCAGGTCCAGTACCATGTGTGTTATGTAACAGGCCTAACGCACACACAAAGGAATTTATTTTCCTACTGCTTTTCTACCCACACCCGTTGTGTGTTGTGTGCCGCTGCCTTAGAAATGTTCTTTTCTTGTTTGGAAAGTCTCTGAGGGGTATGCATGTTTATTTAGCCGTCATCTGGGTGCATACTCAGTATCCCACCCACAGTATGAGATAATATAAGGAAGAAATTGTGCCAAATGACGCTAAAGCTTCATGTGCTCAGTGAAAGGGCAGTAATGTTTGGTGACAGTTAAGATAAGCCCCACTGACCAAGACATGAGCCAACTGTAGAGCCTGTGCTGCTTTGATGTAGAAGATATCAATGTGGGAAACTCCCAGGTTCAATTCTAAATGTTTAAACATTCTGAATTAGTTTTATTTTAGGTGACTATGTGTAATTAGCACTCAACTTTTTAATTTGTCCAGCATCTTTTAGCTCATTAATAAAAAGGTTTGTTTCTGTTTTACTGTTTGTTCCAGTATTGTTTTCAGCCTCTGTAGGCAGCTGTTAGCAGTGAAAAAGCTCCAAAACACCCACTGTACGCTTCCTGCTCGCCATCAAACAGCAGACAGACTAAATTATTGGCTAGGGACCATCACTAGGGAACAGCACTAGGCACAACAGTGACACATTTAGCATTTAAGGAGCCAAATATTTCATTCATTTATAAAATCATAATGTGAGGGTGTCATGTTTACAGCTTGTTCCACTGCCCCCAACTGACTAAAACATCAGCTAATGGAGATTTAATTCAAATTCAAGCTCTCAAAGGTTCAAACAATGTTATTACACGGGACATATCTCTTTTGAAACACTGCTTAACAGTGTAAAAAAAATATAAAATAAATAAAATAAAATCTATAATTTATTATCTATTTATTGCTATTATTTTCTTTTCCTGTATGAGGCTTTAAAAACATTAGTGACCACACTGCACCACCCATACAACCATTAGCACTCACACCACAACACCACACTTGTCAGTCGTACCTATATCGAATGCAGGCTTCAGTCTCGATGTCCTCCAGATGAAACTGTGCCCAGGGGTCGGGCATTGCTTTGGCTTTTTCAATTGCAATTTTCCATGTTTTCTGTTATAAAGAACATAGGCTCATCTTATTAGCCTGTATTAGTTTTTATGCAAAATGGCTGAGCTAGAATACACAGGAAAAAGAGGGGAGGCTGTTTGATAGAATGTTGCTGGATTTGCCCAAAAATGGCAAATACCATTTTTTATTTATTTATTTATTTTTATTTATTTCCTCTCTAACTGCAAATTAAATTTCACAGTTTCTGTATTTAACAGCTCCCCCCCCCCCCATCCCTCAATACATCAAAAATTAAGACACAAATGACTAAGTAACAACAAAAAAAGAACATGTATCGACAACACTCAGGGACACACCAGTGTAAACAAAAGCCTCCTCTAAGGGTGACGCCTCCCTAGTTTATTACTCTTGAGATAGTATGTAAATTAGCAAGAAAGGAAGGCTGATGAGGAAGTAAGCAAAGCTGAAACTTGTAAACAGGAAGAAAGTAGATGATCATTATAACGAAGTTGAACTCTTACTGATTAGTGAACTGATCATGAAATAATAATTTTCAGCTAGGGCTTAACCACGGTCTCCTGTTTCATAAAAGGTTTACAGCTACCTCTACATGAATGTGATCACCATGCGATGTTTTAATGGCCATCTGCAGCTGTGCAGGATCCATGAATCACATGTCGCTAGTGATCCAGACCTGCTGCAGTAACTCAAGCCCTGATCTTCCTATGTGCACAGCGGCACATCTCCCTCGTGTACCAGTCACTGTCCAGCAGGTGTTCTAGACATGTTTAAATTTAGAGCAAAGGAGTAGCATGAAGAGAAATATGAAGGGTCACGGTTTTCGGAGGAGCAACAGCACACCTAAACTGCAGGGACAACCGAGATGCGACGTGCTGTCGCAAACATCACGCTCTCAGCACTAGGATCAAATGGTAAAGGCCACTATGGTACTGAAATGCGTAGCCATGCTCAGAATAACTACAACGTCTTTCTGAGATTTTTGTTATTGTTTAAAACTAGTTTTAAAGCAGCAGGACATTTGATATAAATCAGCTTTCTGAAAAAAACAATCTAACGTTTCTGGTGTTTGTTGATGGTTAAACTTTTCAGCAAAGGAGCATATTAAAAGGAAGCGAGAATGCAGTAAGATACACAAAAGATCAGTCTTAAAGTCCATCATGGGAAATGAGAATAGGTGAAAGGTTTGTTGTGAAAAAAGAAAAAAGACCCCAAAACAGTGAAGGAGAAGGACAGTAAATAACAGTGGAGTGGGGACAAGAAGGCGTAGATGGTCACAGGTGAAGAGGGAGAGAAGGAAGATATAATTTGATCTACAACGTACCCGTGCGCTCTCAGACAAAACCTTGTATGACCTAGGTTCTGCCACTTTTTCTGTTTCATTCTATGTAGAAAGGTGAAGAAAATGAATGAATTTTCATCAGCAGGCAAATCATGCAGCATTATTTACAATAACATTAATTGCCTAGGTGCTTTAAACAACAATGCAACACACAATATAAAAAGGCCAACAGTTGGCCCAGCCAAGAGCTGGCTGGTGCACAGTAGCTCTGATAAAGGGCTGTGTACCCTGAATTGAGCCATTATGCAGCTCTCTGCTTGTGTGGACAAAGCCACACTGAGCAGCAAGAGGCGTGTTTACACACTACATAATCACATGATGTGCAAAAAACACAGTCCTGTACTTCCTGTTCTTGTCAGTGAGTGGAAGACGTAGCTGACCAGCTTTCCACTTCAGTAAACAGATACATATGTACAGACTGTACACATACCAGTACATGTCTATAGGCGTGTACTGTATATATCTTATCTCCTTATAAGGCAAAGAGCGCTACTGCATGTTTATGATGATGTTGGACCACAACACACTGATATAAACACACTGAACATCACTAAACAATCCTCCAGCTCCTGATTTCAACATTTGCTGATACTGTTACTTTACTGTATTTCAACTATCATCTTGATCACATTGCCCAGAGAACAGCTCACCTGGTACAAAAAGTTGCTCTTAGGAAGAGACCTTGACAGCTGCCGATTGTTAACTAGATTGTTGATGTAGTGACAGGATTCTTTGGCCGAGTCGTCCAGAATAGGGCAGATGATGGGGTCTTCATCATCATCATCATCATCATCATCATCATCACTGAGGGAGGATGCCAATCGGTTGGGAGTACTTGGTTGAACAGAAGGTCTCTTGATGCTGCCTTCCTCCTCCATGCTAAACATCAGGTCATCATCCATGATATCTGCTGTTGTGCTAACTAGAGAGGAGGCAGAGATGCGAGTGGTAGTGGGAGTAGAGCCACATGAAGACAGTGGAGCTGATCTGTGGCAGCCATGTTATTACAGTATGTGCACACAACAACCTTGCAGCAAGACTGCACAACTATGCATGTTATAGCCTATTATATGTGAGAAGGTTATCTATGTTTTTTGCGGCTGCACAATGACAGTTGAATTACATGCACAAAACTACAGTCAATCAAAATATTTACCTAAGTAAAGTGAATTCGACCATTAAATGATTAGCATCAGCATGAAACAGCGACTTAGCTTATTACATCTATGTTATTAAACAACTATAAGCACCTACCTAACTGCAGTTAAAGGAATTTGTGTTTAGATTTTTAAAAATACAGCTGGCTGGTGGAGAGGAATGCAAACACAAAATCAAGCTCATGCGGTCCCACTGGTACATCATGCTACTGTAGAAATCATGCAGCGCCAAACAGGAATGTAGCGTTAGCATAATGTTACAGTCTACCGCACTACGATTTACTAACTATAGTTTGGTCTACTATGACCCGCTGTTAGACGAATGTATTGAATAAACAACCAACCTTATAACCGGAAGTAGCGGTAAGCCTAATCACTTTGACAGACTGTGACAGCGTAAACAGTCACCTCGGTCTTCGTGGCTCTCCTCGTTTCTGTAGGAAACTAAATAGACCACACTGCAGCAGATGTACGTGAACTCCCCTCCCAGACCTAACCAAACCAGATTGGATAGGTCCTGGTTCACCAGTGTAGCCTACAGGTCCGGGGGCGTGCCTAGCAAAACGACTGCAGTATTTGTTACCGTCCAACACGACGACGTGAGCACCCCTCACGTACCAATGTTCTCTTGTAAGGCCACGCCCATTTGTCATGCTGCCTTCACATCTGTGAGAAACATAACACTCGGTAAACGTGGAAGGACTCTTTCTGTTTTTAAGTCCAAATTTAAAGCACTTTATGACACTCCAAACCTCAAATTAAACGATTAAATGGAGTTTTGTATAAGTGTGGAGTATTGGTTGGCCAAAACCATAGAATGTACAGTCTAGGTTGTACATTAATGCATGAGAAATAATAATCAAATGATATAATCTATAATAGGCCATCTTAAGTACACTGTCTTTATTGTATTACAAACTTTTATCTAAGTAATTTAGCCTTTGTTGTAATTGAAGATGTTTACAGTGTGGCATTCTTGTTTGAAAAAATAAGAACAGTACTTCTTCAAACTCTGCAAAAAACGTCCAGAGGACATTAGATTTACACCAACTATGACCACCTTTCATGCATCTATTTTTAGCTTCCTTTACAGTAAATGTATTTTTTTTAAATGTATCAATTCTTTAGTTTGCATTTTAATGGCGTGTGCTGTTGTGATGTATTGTGTATTGTATTTGCCTTAGTGTATGAAATTTTCATCTCAAATTTAAGAAGTAAACAAACAATCAAATATACAAGGGTGAGACTATGGTTAATTTTACCAGTTTTAAACAATTATGATTAGAAATATAAACAATAAATGTATTAAATGATTATATAATAAAGTTGGCCCATATTGTAGTTACGTTGCACGCCCTGTTCCAGAAACGCTACTGTGCTACTACGGAAGAACATTTGACGTATAAACGTATATTATTTATTACTAGGTATTAAATAACGTGTCTTATCATAATGCATCAAGATGCTAAGCTTATTTATTTGTTATGTAGCAGGCCTAACGTTACTAAATTGAATAACTTATGTTAGTCAGCTGAGCTGAGCATAATAAAGACAAACAAGTACTCAATAAATATTAATAAAAGATAAATAGTACAAAAGATAATACAATGTAATAGTAAATATTAAATCATTAAATGTTTGGCAGTAAAATATGACATTCAGACGTTCGAGTGCAACGTCAATTAACATTAGGCTAGTTACATTTAATCAATAGCTACATTAACGTTGGGATTAACGTTAATATCAATGAAATGAAAGTGGTGCTTATAACTAAGGTTAACCAATATTACGTACAGGTGCACAAAAGCGTTGCTGATTAAAGTAAACGAATGTATGTTCCTGTAAATAAGGTGCTCTAGTGCGACTGTGGTGGTAGTGGTAGCGTGGCCGAGTGGTCTAAGGCGCTGGATTTAGGCTCCAGTCATTTCGATGGCGTGGGTTCGAATCCCACCGCTGCCATTAGTTTTTAATCACACTACACTTTAAGTACATTATTTAACTAATTTCATATATAGCAGAGAAAATACACCGAAAATATAGCTTACAAGATACAAAAGAATAAGACTTATTTTTGTAAACTTTTGTATGTCAGTGGTTTAAAGGCTTTACATAGCAGGTTTGGATACAGCAGTGCCACCTTGTGACTGTATGGTTACTACATTGTAAATTGTTTTTGAAGAACAATGCATTTTAATGACTACATAACAGCACTGCCAAACCAGAATAATACAAAAAGACAAAAAGAGAAGCTAAGCCTCTCAGGTGAAATAATAAGACTGGTTGGGCAGATTGTGTTCATGTAGAACCATGACACTCACAGTAAGAGGTTAAGGTTAATAAAACAATGTTTTAGAACCTCTAAAAAATATTGATCAATTTAGTGCTCAAATTAATACATAATAGCAATGACAGATGTTAGGACGCTCTATACTCTGTAATAAAAGATATATGGTAATAAATGAAACAAACTGACAAGAGACAACAGTGGCTCATAACATTTAATACATGACGAGAACTGAATTGAATGAAGTGAATAGTGATATAAAGAGATCAACGATCTAAAGTGACTCATGTTGTATTTGTTGTATATAGTCCTTCAGTGTTCATCTAGATTAGTCTGTGCAGAAATTCTCAGATCCTTCCTAGTAATTAGACTATACATCTTTGGAAACATGAGGTTTCACTGGGCCCTGAGTTTTTCCAAGTACTGTGAAGCCACAAACTGCATTTTCTGGATGGCCAGCTGGGTATCTTCAGGGGATATCCCAAGATGCCACACAGCTCGTACTGAATTTCCAAAATAAGGGCACATGAGAACTTGAATCCCCTGTCCCAGTGCTGCCTCCTCTCCCTCACAAACCTGACCCATGCGGGCACAAAACTCAGAGGGGCTCAGGCCAAGTTCCTGTAGATGGAAACACAGGATGTTTGTCTCCACAGCTGCTGTGTCTACAATGAACAGAGGAGGATCACACTGGAGCAGAGCTACGTGAGGAGAAGAAACAAGCAGGAAGAAGTTACAAGTAGGAGCATTAAGTCAGACAGTTAATGATTACAATTGCACAGACAGAATTGAGTTACACACCTTGAGCAAAGGTTTTTGCATTGCGGTGATCCTCCTGCAGTTTTTCTACATTCTCCAGTAAAGACAGCTTTCCTGCTGCTGCTAGTATACCAGCCTGCCGCATCCCCCCACCCAGGGCTTTACGGCATCGTACTGCCTGGGATATGAAGTTTTTGGGTCCAGCCAGCATGCTTCCCACAGGGGCACCCAAACCCTGTTAAACACTGTGATGTGAATTTGACTTTGCTATGAAATGTTTTATTTGTCTGCATGTTCTTCATTTGTTGTGGCCCTACTCACTGTCTAAAATAGACAATGAAATGACTGAGTATGCTGTGTGTGTTCGTGTTCGGCAGTCTCACCTTGGACAGGCACACGCTGACGGTGTGTGTGTGCTGCAGGATGGTGGATGGAGGCACCCCCTGGGCCACAGCAGCGTTCATCACCCTTGCTCCATCCATGTGAACTGACAGACCATGTTTGTCTGCTAAAGTACGCACCTTGGAGATGGAAACAGACCATGTAAAGGTGACGAGACCTGTGAAAGATACTGGATTGTCCAGTCTATTGTAGTAAGGCAAGTACCACAACTGCTTTCACAAGTTTGTCTATCAGCATGAGCTTTACTGTCACAAGATGAGGTGTTCCTGATTGAACTTTAATCACAAGATGAGGTGTTCCTGATTGAACCTTAAAAACAAATCACACACACACACATGCACACCTCCTGCAGGAAGGTCAGAGGAAGCACGCGTCCTCCCTGTATATTGTGTGTATTCTCCACACATATGAGGCATGAGCGAGGATAGTGGGGGTCAGGGTAACCGTGGCAAATCTTCAACTCCAGCTGCTCCAAGTCAAATGTTCCATCAGGGAGGGTGGTCACTGTGGTGGAGTGGACACCAGCCAACTGTGTCAACACACAAATACACACTGGAAGTAAAAGCTGTACAGAAGAAGATGTGCAAAGAGGCGTAATGGGCCTGACTACAAGTGGTTGCTGCTCAGTTTAACTCACCTGTGCACTCCCTCCCTGCTCATAGATGTGTAAATGGGATAGATCGCCCACAATCATCTCATCGCCACGCTCCCTGCAGTGCACCATCACTGGACAGAGAAATGCATTTTGGTTTCAGAAAATTGATTCAGACACTCCCAATAAAAGGACAACTCACCTGCAATGAGGTTACTCATGGTTCCAGAGGGGACAAACAGTGCAGCCTCCATCCCAAACATATCAGCTGCAATTTTCTGTAACTCTGCAGAAATTTAGAGACACTGTTTAGGTAACATTTCACAAGTAAATTTGCAGGTACGTTCATATCAAATCAAATTCATCTCTGACTTTTGAACTGGATGAGCCATTCCCCCTTGCTTCTTTTTCATGTTAATGGTTATATTTTACTGACAGATTGGCTTCATAAGTTTTGCATTTTGCAAAGTTAATTTCAGGCAGATTTGTAGTTATGGGCCATAAAAATACAACAGACCAAACCTTTCTTTTGGAGATTTTTGCTGACTAGACTGGTTTACTCATTAACCCAATAAAGCATTTGCTCTTCTTTAGCAGACATGAAGCCACCCTTTACTGGAAGGAACACAAAAATAGCAATATGTATCTATTGTATAGGTGCATATTACTTAATGAAGAAGTTAATATTTAAATTAGAACATGTAGCAAAATTGTGTTATATTAGTGCTCTGAATAGTTATCAAACTATTTCAATATACCTACTTTACAGTCCTCCTTGATTCACAGTTATGCAGGAACTATTTTAAAACTATTCATAAATAGGATATTTCAGGTTAATACCCCGCCAAAATGACATATAAGGTATCATTTTTACCATCACTAAGATAAGGCCTTAGGTCTAACCATTTATTGTCGGGTCTTCTCCCATCACATCATCTCCGACTTCGGCCTCCGCCATGGCCCGGCGCATCGCCGGCCCGGGCTTAGTCACCGTGTCGCTGCGGAGGTCCACCACCCGGACGCTGCCCGCACCAGACGTCCCGGGGAACCTGGGTTTCTCGGGGATGTTGTAGTAGCCCCGTGCGGCGGCAGGGACGTTGTGTCGTGCACGAAACGCTTTGCTTGAAGCGACGACACCATGGTTCAAAAGTTTAAATAAAAACGTGCAGGAAAATGACATGGTGCGCCCCTGCTCCTCATATTTATTGTTGGAGTTTCCGTGCTGAACTTTAAATCGATCATTAACTACAAGGAATATAAATGGATGACCTATCAATTAATTACCATGCACAAAGCTGTATTCACCCGAAGGTGGCGCCATTGTATCAAGAAATACTACGTTACACCTGAACCTGAAGTATCAGAAGTTGTTTCAAATGGACAGTATAATCCAGGAAATTATAACCTGTTCACTTATTCTGGTTTTGTACTGTAGCCTACATACCAGATAACAGGATGGATTGCATATAAAATACAGTTAATCACATAATGTACGATGAACCTGCTAATTTTAATTTGTGTTAATGTTGTTTATAAGGAGATTTGGTGAACTGTGAAGCTATAGTTTGTGCTGAATTATATTTAAAAACCAATAGTAAATTAGCTCCTGGCGGACACAGTCTCAGTCAAAATCAGTCATAATGGGCTTCACAAAATGTATATTTATTGCTATATAATTGTACAGGATAATACTGCATTATGCTGCATAGGTGATCATTATATTTTATTTACTAGGGTTGTTAGTACTAATTATTTTAATAATTGATTAATCTGTCAGTTGTTTTCTCAATTAAAAAACAAAAAACTGTGAATTTGGGACAATCAAACATTTGACATTTTTACTTTTATCTATTAAAATAGCTTTTAACTGGAATGACAAATAAACAACAATGAATCAGTTATCATAGTAGTTGATGATATTTTGTCAGTCAGTTCATCAATGTTTACCCCATTTGTTCAGGCTACTTATTTGGAGCATTGATGGATGTTTGCACAGAAAACAACTTCTATGGAAACGAGAATTTTTAAATGTTTTTTCAAGTGTTTTCCCCCATTTTGAATACTGAACATAGTCAGAGACAAACATCATCTATCGTTATCAGTGTCCTTTTGAGTTTTCTGTTTTTTCTTCCAAACTTTCTCAGACAAATCCCTTTAAAAAAGTCAGAATATAATTATTAAACAGCCCTTTCTGTTCAGTATGTTTTGAATTTGAATACAGTTGCCAGTAATAACTCCCACCATGTCCTACATTAATCACACCCCAGTGAGTGAGGCATGCATGTGCGTAAATGTCTCTGTACAGCTGTGGGTGTCTATCTGTTCCTGTGCCAGTGTACATGATGTGTTTGCACCATGTTGTGGTCACAAATGCTCTGAAATATCTCTGACATCCCAGGATTCTTCAGGGGTCACAAGCTTGCTTTGGCTTGACCTTATCCCTGCACTGAGCTGTAAATCAAACTGGTGCACAGACATCATCCATTATCCATTTATAGCGAGAAAGGAGGTGAAGACATGTCCATATACCATCCCTACCCCCCAACGCACATGATATGATGGTGCTACGGGCTCAGGCCCAAACCAAACTAGTTATATCTAGCACAGTTTTTATCTAACTTTTCACTGCAGTGATGGCCTAGTTCCCTTATGCCTCAGGGACAAAGTCAGTATTTGGTGAATAAGACTTGTGGTAATTTATCTACTGTGGACTGAGATTAGGCTTCACGAGAGGTGCATTTCTGATACTCGCTTTACTGAACTACAAATGCTACTGCTACACTCACATAACATCTCGTCCCCTCCCCTACACATTTTGCCCACTCACATGCATATGTATGCTGTCTTGTCTGATTTCAATCACTTGATAAAAGTCCCATTGTGTGTTATCAGGACCACACAGTACTGTAGTTAAAGTTGATCTTGCCAGTAACAGAGCCAGGTTTTATGAGCCATAACAAGTCATCATTAAAAGTCATTAGCAAACATCAGCATCGTAAAGAGGCCACAGTCGGTCTCAAGAGCCCCACAAAAGCCTTCAACAGAGACAGATAAAGATGCAGTGGTGAGCAGGACAGAGCAGTGGTGGATAATTGTGATAAGATGGAGAAAGGGGGGAGACATCCTGAGCAGGAGTTTTTCCGGGATCACTGTTGGCATTGCGTTCTGTAACCTCACACTTTTGTTTGTATGTGTGTGTGTATACACTGCTCTGTGCTTCTGCTTGTGTGTTTTGTTTCTCTCAAATGCCTTCCAGCATTCCTTGCCTGTGCATGGAAGCGAGAGTGGTGTTTTGGAGAAAATATTGAATTAGAGAAAAAGAGGCAGAGAGGGAGAAATGAAGGAGAGGGAGAAATATTGACTTCTTCTGGGAAGGAGCGAGACGGCAACGCCTTTCCAATAACCAAAAACCCACTGGGCTGAAAATAGACGGGCTGAATGAATAAACGAATGTGTTCATCCCACATGAGCTCTTCTCTTTCACAGAAGGAGGGAATGGAGGTTACCCCCCACCTCCCTCCCTCCCCCCCCTCTCTCTCTTCTCCTTCACTGAGGCCATTATTTCTTCACCATGACGAGAGATATTAACTGGAACAAAACAGGTGTTTCTGGGAAGCCTTCCCTCAAATGAGGTTTTTCATACACACACACAAAGACGCACACACACTCCCCTGTGCAGTGTAAAGGTGTCGACATCAGTGCCTGCGAAACAAGAGAAACATCTGTTTCATATTTCACACTACCCCCCTACTTCATATGTCATAGACCATGTGGACACACACACACACACACACACACACTCACACATGCAGATACATTTCTCTTAAGTAGTAGGGGAGGCTTGGTGGTTCCGGTCACTTCACCCAAATAAAAACAAAACAGATTTTCAAACCTCTCTAGTGGTAGCTAACTATGCAGATATACTATATGACCGAAAGCATGTGGACAACTGATCATTACATCCACATGTGATTGCTGAACATCTCATTCCTAAACCATTAAGCACATTTAATATGATGCTACAACAGCCTTACCTCTTCTGGGAAGACTTTCCACTGAGTTTTGGAACCTGGCTGCAGGGATTTTCTCCATTCAGCCACAAGAGCCTTAGTGAGATCCAACACTGATGTTTGGTGTTAAGACCTGGTTAGCCGTCACTGTTTCAGCTGGACAGGGTTGTGGTCACAACTCTGTGCAGGTCATTAAGTTCTTCCACACCAATCTTGTAACGCCATTTCTTAATGGATCTGGCATTTTACAAAGACTGCAGCTAATGATTGTATTCATTATCAATTAATTATTAATTTATTTATCTATTTGATTAATCAGCTAATCAAATGCCCATCAGAGTGTCGCCGAGCTTAAAGTGACATCTTTATATAGATTGATTAGTTTAAACAAAAGACCAAAAACCACAACATTTTTTGTGATTGACAAATCAATGAACTGATTGTTTCAGCTCTGCACTTTACAGCTAAGTATTGTCACGCTGAAACAACAAAAGTGCCCTTCCCAAATGGTTGCAGCAAAGTTAAAGCACACTGTTGTCTAAAACTGTAATACTCCCACATGCGGCAGCAGTTTTTGAACAGTTTCTGTTAGAGCCACGTCAATAGGTACAATGAAAACTCTTGACAACTGCCGTAAATTCTAGCAACCAGAACAATACAACTAGAAAAACAAAAGGATTTTAAATGCTTTGTGTGCTCAAACAAAATTTTACTCTTCTGTTTTTAGCATTCATAAGCTAATAGCTCGAAACCTCTGCACATAGTTCATCTACATGTCTTGAGACCACTGTAAACCTTTTATGATTTGGGTGAACTGTTCCTGTATGCATTGTGGTGATGATAGTTGTGTGACTGTGTGAGGCAGGCTTAACCAGAGCATCGAGATTACCCGCTGTAGTAATCAACTTCAACCACTATTACCTGTGTGTGCACATTCATCGTTCATTCATCCACTGATGACTTCTCCTCTCAGTCAGTTCTCATTTTGTTCATTCAGCTGTAATTAGAGAACACGACCAGCCTGTACAATTTCACTTCCGAGAACAGTTGCGTCTCTCTTTTTCTTAACCTCCTTCTCTTCCATTAATTTACCAGAGCTTCAATTCACCCCTCACAGTGATCCTGTCACCCTCCTGACCCTCTTTTCACTTCCCCTCCTCTTCATCTTCCTTTCCCACATTGCCTACTCCTCTCCCTCTCTCCATCTCTCTCTCTCTCTCTCTCTCTCTCTCTGGGAAGTCACGTGACTTCTCTGAAGCTGAGCCCTATAAACCAGCAGTACTTGGGGGGCTCAGTGCCTATACAGCTCTCTGATTGTCTCTTGCATTTAGATGCTGTTCACTGCTGGGCGCACACACAGCGGACCCCCTGTTTCCCTCTTTCAGGAACAAATCTGATCTTTCACATAAAAAACAGACAGAGGGAAGGGGGGTCAAGTGTGTGTGTGTGTGTGTGTGTGTGTGTGCGCGCACGCACACACGCACACGTGCAGAAATGCCACCTTTTGCAGGAAAAAGAATAGAACAGTTATTAGACCTTAATGAGTGGGCTGTTCTGACAAGGTGAAATTATTTAAGTGTGCACACACGTAGGCAGTAGGCTGAGCAGTGCCTTTGTTTTATGTTGGGGGATGCATGCTGTGGCAGGTCAATAGCTGAATAGAGGTAGAGTGCTCAGCTTTGGGGCTTGTTTAATCCAATTGGATCCTTGTTGAGACAAAACAGAGTAGCCTGTTAGTTACTGGCAGAAAAGTGCTGCTGTTCATGTTCAAAATATCTACTTTGCATTGAAGGCTTTTGTCATTTTGCAGTGAAAACCTTGTAAAGTCTAGTGTACCATTTAAGCAGTTCTGGTCTTGACTCATGAGAAACTTTTTTGCAGAGTCCTGGTGTTTATCAGACATTGATATTGGTCATTGGTCATGCAAGGGTCGCCAGAGACTGAGACCCTCCCAAACATTTTTCCTGCTGCTGTTAATTCATACACTCAGAAATGTTGACTTAGAATGTGTGAGTGAGTGTTTGTGTGTGTAACAGAATGACTGTGTCCTGCAGGTAAACAGAGGTGGGAATGATTACTGTAGCTACAGTTAGTGAAATGCTTATGCTTCTACATTATTTCAGATTGAAATGTTCTTATTAACACACCACTGCCGTGACTCTAGGTTTGGTAAAGTTGGTCGGTCAGTCCACCAGTTTTCCTAGAATGAAATATCTCAGCACCTAGTGGATGGATTGCTTTGAAATTCTGTAGAGATGTCAGTGGTCCTCACTGATGAACTCTAAAGACTAGTGAGCCACTAACATTTCATCAGTATTCATTTATATTTACGGTACAAGATTAATTGGCACAAATTTTTGTACAGGCGTTGATAATTATTAGAGGACAAATCCCAGTGTCCTTTTCACTAGCGCCACCATGAGGTTCACATTCTTGTTGAAATGTCTCACTGGATGGACTATTATGCCAGTTGGTGCCATGTCCAAAATCTGTTTACACTAAAGGTGTTTCCCCATGTTCATTAGCTTTAGATTTAGTGCACAAGCAGAAGAACGGTATCAGTCTTCCTACCTAACACTCCACAGTGATGTGACTAAATGTGTTTCTCAGTTGCAGTTTTCATTTGACATGTAAACTGGACTCTGCTTACAGTGAGCACTTATACTTTTGTTACTTAAATGCATTTTAGTGCAAATAAATTGCTACTATTATACCACAGTTCAACTGTGAATGCAAGACTTTTAGTATCTTTTTATTGTCACACTGCTGCATTTTCTTGGGCATGATGTTGGGCATGTCTTGTACTACTGTAGGTAAACTGTAGGTAAGTCATGGATGTCAGAATGAAGGAAAACCCCTCACCCACCACATATGTGTGTGCTTACGCTAGTGCTTGTACTCATTTGTCTGCTGCAGTCTCACACTGAAATATTTTGCAGTCCTGTTTGCTGGCTAAGGGGACACAGTGACACCTGAGAGCGTTAGAGGGTTTGGTCCGAGTCCATGCTGTTACAGTAAGTCATTTGGCATCTGTGCTTCTTTGCCGCTATGCTCACATAACTGAGAATAGAAATAAAAAACAACAGAAACATTTACCTCATAGGTGAAACAATGACTCCTGCACCATGCCTCACAACTGCCTTTTACAAACAGTTCTGTTTTCAGATCATCCCAGGTAGCTGTCTTTGTTCTTCCCGTCAGGAACAGCACAGACACACCCATCTGTTAGGCTGTCCAGGTGTTACGGGAAACCATTTCAGTGATGTTTTTAAGTGAAAATACAGTTAGTCACAATGAGTTTCAAATGCTGCAGAGGGAGGGGTGCACTGGGGGGGTGAACAGTTGGCTTAGAAAAATACTGTGGTTTGAGTGAGTGTTTGCGTGTTTGCATGTGTCACAGTGAGATGGTCAGTGAGTGCAGGTCAAGGCTGTGTCTTTACAGGCTTGTGCACACACACAAATACATGCATGCGCGTACACATTTTTGTTTTTGAGTGCATCTGTATGCTTCCCATATGGTTTTTATTGATCCATGTCCCGGTTATACCCCTTCTGCTCCCTCTCGTTCTCGCTGTCTCACTCTCTGTGCGCTGATGGTGAAGGAATGATGGAATGCTGGAGGGTAAATCTCTGGTTTCCTGGAAGCTGGTCTGACTTTATCAGAAGCGGCTGTGACAATACTCGAGCTGATGGGCCAACCCAACATCTTTCCTAGAAGTGTCGATCAGCCAACAAAAAGCCTTCCTGGAAGAAATAATCAACAAACTGGAGACCCTTCCTGGAAGAACAATGTGGATTGCTGGTTGCAGGGCATATCCCCTTTAGTACTCTTTTCACCTTCTGTGCTTGACACAGTTTTAACTCATGAGCTCAGGAATGAAATTAAATACTGTTGACACATAGATCTTAATCAGACTGCAAGAATGTTTTTGGTCAAACCAGCTCACTTTTAAAACAATCTCCACACTGAACTTGCTTCACATTTCTTCTTGCTGCATTAAAACATGATGGTAAAGCTTTGAGCAGTGGTTCCCAAACTTTGGTGTGAATGTTTTGATTGTTGGAAAAAAAAAAAAGTATAAAAACCTCCAAATCGAGTACAGTTTTGTTTGAGAGCCGGGTGTTGTGCTTGGCCGGGAGGCTGTTGACAACTGTTGAGCTGGACACAGCAAATCATTACCCGAAAAATGAATCATGGTGGAAAGACTTTCTATGAGTGTGTGAGATTCACAAGAGGATACAGGCAAAATATTCCAGCCCCACTAACCAGGCAACTATGGGGAACATAAAATGAGTCACAGTGCGCTGAGCTGGCTTATTTGGACAATGTGTGTATGTGAAACTGGATTATTCTGGTTGGATTTTGGGAAGAAGACACTCATTTCTGTTTGTCTCTTGAACTACATCACTTTTGTCTATAAGTGCACACTCAGTCTTCCCCTCATAAACAAATAGTGTCACCCACCCACATTTTCACACACACACCAGCATTCAAACAGCAACTTTAGAAACACATTTTTTCCTGTAAGTGTCATAGCATAATAATGAACTGTAGAGCTGAGTTTTTTTAAATCATTGTAATTACCTGAACTGAGGTAAGCTCTAAAAACAGTTATTATTGTTGTCCTCTCATTCCCACAAAGATATTTGAATGGCTCATATCTAGATGTGTGTGTTTGTGCATGTATTTTTATGTTTGTGTGGACAAATGTTAGTTTGTGAGAACATTTTAGCCAGTTCTTAAAACTTGAAAGGATTGTTTGAGGGTTAAGATTAAAATTAGGTTTAGGCTAGGGTTAAGGTAATGGTTCTGGCCTAGTTGTGATTGTTAGAGTTAGGGGCTAGGGCATGTATTATATCGATGTGTCCTTACAGCTATAGAAATACTGATGTGTTTGTGCTGACTAGTTTAATGTACATATGTACCATATTGTCAGTGAACTTTACTACGTGGTAACTGTCAACAGTTCAGTTTCACATCACTTTTCTGCATCATTTTTGTGTATTCTTTCTAGATGGAGTCTCCTATCTCTCTTTCTCTCTCTCAAACACACACACACATCACATCCACACTCACACACAACACCCTTCGTTCGCTCTTTCTCAAACATACACTAACATCAGGCAAACCATAAAAACTCAACTCAATTAAAGTGCCTCTTTCCTGGAAGTCAGCCTCAGACAGAACACTAGGTATGCAGGGAATGGGAACCGTGTGTGTATGTGTGTGCACGCTTTGGTGCTACTCACACTGCAGGGGCCCAAACCTGTGCACACACTCAAATTGTGGGGACTGGACGCTGGTCCCCAAACATGTAAATCACTGAATTTTAGAGTGCTTTAAGGCTGAAGTAAGGTTATGCAAGCAGCAGTCTCCAGGAAATGAATGCAAGTCAGTGTATAGTCCCCATGAGGAGTGAAAACAAACACACACACGTGTGCGTCTGTGTGTGTGTGAAAGAGAGAGAGGGAGGAACATAGAAATGAAGAAACTCACCTCCTTCTTAATTTTGCCAGCAGCAATCTAGCTAGACCAACCTCTTACACACCCACACATACTCTGCACTGGCTGCACACTTAACCCACAACCATAAATCTCCCCGTGGACCCTTTCACCTATTTGACCTCTTACACACACACATGCATACTGTATCTACACTCTCTAGAGGACACCATCCTCTCTCTGCCCCTCAGGCAGGATGTATAAACCCCGCTGCATTCCTTTCCAGTTAGGTCCAGCCCAAAGCGAGCTTTCTGCACAGCAACTGCTGTGTCAATGTATGTGTGCATGCCTGTGTGCGATGACATTTACTGTGTGCTTCTGGGAATCCCTTTGTTTGTGTACTGTGTACATCTACAGGGCATTTCTGACAAGCCTTGTCTCCACCCATTCCTATATGCGCTCTAATGCCTATAGAATTTGCCCACTATGCTGTTGCTGAGAAAATACAGAAGTGATGATTGCAGTCATTTTAACCCTATGATGAATGTGCGTCCTGTGGTGAAGCTCTTTAAAGGCCTGCCGACTCAATAAACACTGCTTTGTTTAACTAGAAAGTGCCATTTGTCAATAAATAATCTAGTTGTGGGGCTGGGCATTGCTGGAATACAGACTGCCTTACAATACATTACAGCAAGTTAGAGCTTAAAAAGCCAATATTGACTCAGTGAAGTCAGGAAACAAAAGAGAAGCAGTGAACGAGGCGAAGAAACAGAGAAGTAACACACAGGGCAAATGCATTGACTTTTGTAAAAATAGTGCTCTTTAATATAAATTATTGAAATATGTTAGAAATATAAATATGTGCAATGCTCCTTTTCATTTATTTTTTTGTAATGCTTTGTCTTTTCAGATATTACAACTTGTATTTCGCCAGACCAGTGGCTTGCCTTTTGTCAGTCTTTATAAAAGACAAATGATTCACATACATGTGTGGTCTGATGGTGTGACACATGTCAAAACTTGATGTGATGTGAGAAAATAAGGCTGAGATTTGACCAAAAATGTGTTTCACTGTGGTATAAAGTCAACAGCCATATGATGTGACAATCCGACCAGTCCAATATTAGCACTGGTCGAACACAGACCAAACGGTTTTGATCAAATCCGAGTCGTGTTGGTTTACAAAACGCTTTTTTAAAAGACTTGCTTCAGGGAAGTTTTGTGTTCCCTTGACATTCAGACTTGACTGTCCACTCCTGCTTCAGAGGTAACTGTGGAAGGTAGATGGGGCGAAAAGCCTGTCTAAAGTTACCATCCACATAACAGTACATTTCCACTCTTAGACCCTTCATCAGAGGTGATTTAAGAAATCCAGGAGGGAGACAGCAGACACTCAAACACACCAAGATGTTTTTACAAAAAGAAATAAGTTTGAGATGACAATGTAATGTTAAGAAGAAATCAGAGTGAGAAGATCTAAAACACAGATTTAAGACTCAGCCAAAATGTTCTTTTTTCACATGGGGCTTCTTGGCAAACCTGGTTTTATATTTAGAGTATCCTGTTGAACTGTATCATTTCCCCAAAGTCTGGGATATCAATCATGTCAGTGGTTTTTGTCTTAGCTGTATACCAGTAATGTCTCCTCCCCGTTCTCCCCCACAATAGCCCCCTCCTTGGTTTTCTGTCCCCTTCAGTTTGCTTTTCCTAATCCCATTTCCTGCACTTTATCATTCTACCCCTCTCCTCACACTTTCCCACCTCTCCAGTCTATAGGATCATCATAGTTGTCATTCACCAAGGTGCTTTACAGTGTCACTGACATTTTTCCAGCTAGTCTGGATAAAAATAAATTCTGATGTTTCATTTGGTCCTGTGCCCAGGCTTTTGTCTTGGTAACAAGCTTTTGTCTCTGCTGCAGCAACCTGTTTTCTGTCACCGTCAAAGCGCACATGCAACTCAAGAAACAAAAAGTCGAGGGCAGGGAATATGGTAATGGAGGAGACACAATAAATGAAACAGGAGAGGGACAAGATGCTTTGTAAGCCTTTTTTTTGTTTTGTTCCCACACTAACAAAACCTACATGTAGGCCTGAACCTGTGTGTGTGTGTGTGTGCACAGAGGTAGTGTCCATGACCACCCCACTCCCCTCTATGAGGCAACATTTGCGGGAAACAGCAATGGAAATGTGTACACCACCACAACACACAAATGCACACACACTCAGACAAACAAATATGTTCTCTGCTTTGAGCCCCTTATTTGGACTTTTGACTTTTCTCTGAAACCCGTTCGTCCTTAACCACCCCTGAGCCTTTGTGTCCTTTGCTGTTTTTCTCTCTGTCCACAGTAATCCAAAGAGTTGTAAATGTCCGGCTGACAGAGGAGAGGAGAGGGTTCTTCTGGAGCACACTAAGCCCCTCAAGGATCACTGGTGGTGTATCGATCATGTTGTCACTGTCATCATTAACAATGACCAATCAGGTTAATCTTCTACGAGGCTCTGCTCTGCGTCTGAGTCAGTCACAGGAAACACTGACCTCTGGCTTCATCTGCCATTCACTCTAGTGGCCAGTTTTTGCAAGGCAGGACAGACTGGGTAATCGTTGGTTGTCCAAATCACACTCCTCATCACAGAACCTAGTTCGGTGGTGTCCATCAGTGTTGAAACAGATCTGAGATCAGCTGATTCTAACCAACAGGAATAACTGACCTCACATCTAAGGCTAACCCCGGTCAACTTCTGATGGCACACATATTCACGTAAGCACCGAGAACTGGCCTGTGCTGTCTCCCATGCACCTGGTCCATGTAGTGGAACCTGTGCTGTTCCTGTCAGTCATATGGGAGCATCGTACTCCTCCAGGAAGTCTCTAAGTGTGTGCGGGAGCTGCTCGGCTTGCTCCGACCCCCCCAGGCCTCTGCTGTTCAGGGTCCTCCTGCACATGTGCTGCAGGGACGAGAGAGAAGTTGAGAGCGGTCGCCGCAACTCCAGGGGGATCCTCTCCCCGCCGGTGTGGATCAAATAAATGTTCCGTCCCTTCATGTCTGCCTCTCCTGAATTACCCCCACATGCCCCTTCTCGATTTCTTCCAGCATCTGGCCCTTTCCCCATGTAATGTGCTATAAGTTTCAGCACGCAATCAAACTGCGGGAGCTCTTGGGTGTTTTGGGGGTCTGGCTGTAAGAAGAAGCCGCCTCCCTCGCTGTGAATTCGCAGGTTCTTTGTTCCTCGCGCTGTCTGGACAGAGAGGGTGAAGAAGTGGTGGTGGTCTGAGGAGTCCCGGATCAAGAAAGTTCCAGGAGGTTCAGAGCGCAGCAGGGAGCTGGCCTCCCGTCCCCCTACAGCCCCCCAGTAAAACCCACTTTCCTGAAGCTTATGCAATGCACGCATCACCTAAAATAGGTAAGAGAGAAACCTCTATTATTAATGGGTTTTCAGCCAAGGGTGAAATTCTGGACTTTAATAACACATTCAGCAATTTCTCTAAAAACTCAGGAGTGACTGACCTGTTGGTAGTGCGCATGTGAACTGAAGGGCTTGTAATGATGTGGGGTAAAGCTGGACCCCTGAACCCTGCCCTCCGGAGGGGGCACACTGCTCATGGTGAGGGGGTTGTGCCCACCAAAGGCCACCACGGCGCCATGGCCCCCTGCCTCTGCCTGCTGGTCGAGAGGCAGGGGGCCCAGAACAGGAGCGTTGAGGCTGACAAGAGGAGGAGAGTTTGGGGCAGGGGCAGAGGAGAGAGAGGGGGAATAGGGTGAGGGCGGTTGGGTCACACACCGGGTCCAGGGCCCCGGGGCAGAGGAGTCTGATGCATCCAGAGAGGGGCTGGTAGAGAACACCTACAGACAGCTGGAGACAGGGCGCAGGAAGGACAGCGTCCACATTAGGCATTTTCTTCAATATATAGACTAATACACATGCAAAAGCAGGTAACCATACAGTGTCCTTACACTCATTCATAAGCAGTGACATAAATAAATGACCACTCTGCAACGCTGGAGTTCTCGGTTTACCTTCATAAAACACAGTTACTGTTACTCTGGCAAATGGATAAGGCAAGACTGGGCAGCGCACAGTTTATATTTAGTTTAAATGAATCCTCGCTTACTCGCACGAGACTGCTGCTGCTGCACCGTGCAGCCAGACAGCAACTGGATCCTGATTGCTTTCAATTGTCTTCGATCGGGCGGACCGCAACAAGGGATTTCAGAAACAGGGTCATTGTGAAAGA